ATTGTAAACTTCTCATGGCGAGAGCCGCTGATGTACAGTATCTCACAGAACGTCCGAGTTTACTTGAAATATATTGTATGGTGAATCAAACGATTGATTGATGCAGGAACGAAAACACTTACTACGTGCGAGATACGATAGCAAACCTACACAAGTAGCAGAATGTACTGTCCTCATACCATCATCTCTTATCTAAGTAAAGAAGGCTACAACAGACGTATAGCTGCCGGTGTGGACCCAGCTAAACATGATTTCATTGTTTCCGAAAAGACAGCGGAGATACCAAGTATGCAACTGCCGGCCTGTACAAACAGTCTAATAACGCCTTGACGATGCTCAGTATGAGAATGGAAAAAGGATATTCGACACAAACAAGCAATCCTGTATCCATCTCATGTCCTTCTTCGCATCAAGATACAGAGTAAGGAACTCAAACCCCGTTTGACCTTCGACCTCTCCAAGCCCGTCAACGGTCACGACCACAACACCATAGCCCTGCTTCGGGATCTCAATCTCAAACCTACGGACTTATCAGACGCCTTCCTCTTTTTAGCTATCTTTTCGTGAGCAATAAGAAGCCTGGCAACCTATCTAGCGCCCGAACTCTCATCGCTACCGGCAACAACGCCATCAGCCCCAGCAGCAACAGAGGGTTCGAACTGATCCAACCAATACACTGCCACTCCCGCCTCTGATCCTGGTTCAGTCTCTGCGTCACAGGTCCCCGAGCCTCAAGCACTCCATCCTCGACATTATTTCTGTCAAGGTGTTTGGAACCTCAGCCGCTCAGTAAGATGCTCCAGACTGCTTTGTTTCTATGATACATCATTCCAACTACCCCCTCAGCCATTGATTGAGCTGTTGTTACTGTCCATCTGGCCCTGAGCTTGAGACTGACTTGTTGTGTCACTGTCCTCGCCCACCTCCTTAGAATTCCTATGGTCGTTTTGCCAAGGGTCTAATGGCTGGTCCCGGCTTCGGTTGGTTTACAAAGGAGATGGCAGACAGGAATTCAGCAATGAAAGAACAACGACTGCGAGACAAATAGGACCCAACATCGGGCACCTCACTCTCCAGGATTCCCGCGAACGGATACGCATTATAAATTGGGTTTTTGAGTAGTGTAGGAATAACCTTAGCGTGACATCTGCCTGTCCTCCCTGACGTTGCTTCCAACTGGCCGCAAACTGCAATGGCATTAAAACATCTTCACCTTGCGTATTCCTATCAGCATGGAATTCCATTAGTGATTAAACCCCCTCCAGGGAGCTATATCTAGTGCCAAAATGGAGCGCATTTGTTCCTTGCTTGCTTATTACACCCGGGCCATCCATGTTATGAAGAAATGCGGACACGATTTCGTGATTACCTCTCGCGACTGTAAACTGAAAAAGTGTCTGCATGTTCCCGTCTTGGAAATTAAAGACAGTGTTGGTTTCATCTTCCTCTATGGCCACCTCCTCGATGGGACTTAGTCCTGATCTAGCCGTGTGGTCTAAGGCAGTCCGCCCCTTGATGTCCTTAGACTTTCCCTCAAGCCCCCGAGAGTACTAAAGCCTCACTATATTCGTGTGTCCATATCTGGTCGTGGGAGCTCAGAGCCGTCTGGACACTATCCTCTTTCATAGTTGTTTCTGTATCAGCGTGTATTAGCCTTAAAATGAAAATCTCACGCCTGACTGTGAAGGCCTGCTGTATTTACCCAGTAGTAGATAGATCTATTTGATTACCGGGTTATAAAGATGGATCCATACATATCAAAATCTCAAGATCTCAAATTATATCAAGGTTTCTTGATAATGCACTTTACCAATTAGAACATGCGTGACAAGGCCATGGCCGAACTGTATGATTGGAACCGCCATTGAAGATATTTCCGCGCTGTATGCATAGTAGCTGTTTCTTCCTCTTCTAACGATCGTTCTACCTGGTACAGTCAGTTAATCCTGGTCCCTACTTTGATCCATAGAGTTAACTATGCCCGAGTTAGTGTGCAATTGCAGCTGATCTCCGTTCATCCATCCAGTACTGGGCAGACAGACACTCGGACGCTGGTCTCGGACGTCATACAACATCTTTCGACGCATACGGACAACTGCCACAAGACAGATGGTGTGGTTCGTATGTCGATCATAGACTTGTGGGTATGCGTGATCCGTAAAGGGGACGACGTCCCTGAAGTATTTCTTAATGCATCAGCAAGATGGTACTTGAACCATTGACTGCTTAATGGCTATGTTCAGGAATACGATACCCGAGGAGAAAATATACGCAGTATGGACGGGGTTGCCCTTATCCTCGACCTCGAGATTACAGCATGATCCTCTTCTTGCTCGAGCTCATTCCGGACCGACGTTGAGAGCCTGATGCTAATACCCGTTTCAGTAATGATAACCACTGCCAAGTAGATTGTTTCATCTCTGACTAATGTGTTAGCTGGCTTGCTGTTTTGACAGTAGATAACCAATCCGTGTTAATAATCGGAGACATCTAACAAACAGCCAGCCCAGCATCTTTCTTACAAAAGCCTCATTCCCGACGTAATTGCCAGTAATCCTGGTTGCAGCTCTCAGCGCCACTGCCGACTCGTGCCTGTTTCCAGGTTGCTTTTTAAATAAGTCAGCAGTGGAGTTCAAATGCAGTAAGAGTCTTCACTTCCTGTTGGGATTGAAGTTGACGAAGAGCTTTGACCTCTTGTAAGAACATGTGGACCGATGACTATAGGGTATCATCGTATGATTCCGAGTGCGAGTCTCCGTTAGTGGAAGAATGATCCATCTTCATCATCGGACGAAGAATTGAATCAGACCTCTTTTGCATGTGACTATCTGACTCGCGTAGGTGTGGAGAACTTTCTGATGGGAGTGTGTTGCCTCTATGGTAAGGTGACGATGTGGTTGTTGAAGGGAACAGATATGCGATCTGTTAATGAGGAGAGCAATTAAACAGACTGGGATTTAACAAGTCTGGCTGGGCTAGAGAAATCGTTCGACATCCAGGCATATAGAATGGAGCATGACGGCGTTTCATCTATGATAAGTTGCTAACAGTCTGAAAAGAGACAAGCGTTCCTTCAACCATGTAGGGCGTTGGCGTCTTGCATGTCTTTTGTCAAGAGTCATGGCGTGGACGTTGGAGCCAAAGGAGTACGACGCTTTGTTCTGCACTGGAAGACAGTTATATATGGGATTCTCATCTATTCCGTCCGGGTTTCAACACAGTAGCAGTGTCTTGACACATGAGAGTAAAACCGGTGTGAAGGTTTCATGTCGACCATTGAGACATCAACTGTCTGGCTGTTGCAAGGCTTGGTGAGACGGAGCATACTTGCAGTATGGAAGTAGTACAACTGTCACGCACCTGTACCGTAAATCCACAGCCAACGCAACATAAGTGCACGACCAGCGCCGAAGAATTCCTCGTTACAATGGATTTATCGATACAATGACCATTTTGATTACAGTTGCTACTTCGAGGTTGCATTACCGATGCATTACTACGGCATTCAGTGGAAGCGAGAAAATTTAAATTTACTGGCATACAATACATATCAATCTCGTCTAAAATGGACCGTACTTTATTAGAAGGCTAGAAATCATAACTGAAAGGATTTACCAGTCAGTTAATTATACCTTTGGAGCTACGTAGCGCCTGCGTGGCCAAGTGCACCACAGCTGCAAGTTCAGAGTTGATGGTGGTTTTTCAAAAAAAAAAAAGTCATACATGTTAATCGAAATTGGAATCATGGGAGACATCTTTTCATTTCAATGAACGCCCTGGCAATAAACATTAAATGTTGGATTCGTGCCTTTCTGTATATGCGTAAGCCCGGTTCGCTGAGTAGCTCTAACCCAGAAGCTCTACGACGGGATACCAGAAGAAGATCAAGTTCAAATACCATAACTAAAACTTCATCGACAGCAAAATATAAAATAACAAGAAATGCATTGAAAGTACTGCATTAAATGACTGAAGTCTGGAACATTTGCAAAGTATTCAAAAGGTAAGGCATGATGCGTGGGGACTAGGACAAAAAGCTAAGCGACGCCGTCTGGAATACCGGGGACGCGCATGAGAGGTCGTCCAAGATTATGGGTTCAGGACCAACTCGTCGGGGCTTTGTAGATCTGACCTCACTGCAACTATAATAGCTTATTCAAGAGCTTAGTATTTGCACTACCCCAGTGGTTAAGATGTAATGGTAAGAATGGAAACCTAATAGACTTAGAGCCTTTATGCGGATTACCTAAGAATACAACCCCAGCAAGACTGTCGATGAGGCTTGTGAGCTCCAGTTGGCATCTTTCCTGGCATTGCTCCTATGTAAGAAGCAACGCCTTGGCTCCAGTTAGCATTAATCCAAACTCCTACAAGAAACACTTTCTACCAGCTTCATAATTAGCCCACTAAAGCTGTGGCCGATCAAAATTCAAGTGCAATCTCGTCCCTAGTGAACGTATAGTTAGTAGCTCACTAGCCTATTTTCTTAATAGCTTGCATCCCCCTTCTTTCTGAATTCTATTAAAATGTCGAGAAACTGCATACTGTATTCATTTCAGTGCTTGTCCGATGCATTTAGCGCCGTCGTTAAATCGTGAAGAAAGGCGATGATGCGAACATTCTCCAATTGATATGGCGAAAACACCTTCAACCAATTTTCATCGGGCACCTTATGGGTCCAGGTCGTCTTAAGGTTTCAGTCTAGACCATGAATTGCAACTATACTATCTGGTAGTCAATCTTTACATGCCATTATGAATCAATCGGCACCACAGTAACGCAAGCGTTTAATTCTTTCCTTTAGGATTATGCATTTCTAACATCGGTTTCAGATTTCTAATTTAAAATTCAAAGACGTCCCTTCCGAGACGACCTACCTACATACAATGGAGACAAGATTGATAATTGGGCAGAGAGCTAAGACAAGAACTATGAACCCGTAGAAGGTACCAGTCCCTAACATATCTGCTTGTATTTCCCTGTGGTTGTAAACACTTTCCCTAAACAAGTTCGACTGTCGTTGTCTCTTGATCATGAGACCAGTAATCCGCGAATGGAAGGCGCACAAGTCCAATCCTAGTATACTCTTCAACATCCCCGACACGATTTCCAGTGGATCTCAGTATAAGCGCTGTTGCTACTTCCACTATTGACCCCCCTCTTAAATCCTTCGCGTGAGTCTCTACCGTCCCAACTAGCAGGCAAGGTTGGGGTTCGCTACGGATACTGGTGACATGCTTCTCGGCGTCGATGAATACGTGCTGATAAAGCCCTCGCTCTACCGCCTCGTTATAGCTTTCGGACATCTCTTCCCGCCACGGAGCAACACTATCAAAGTCCCTGAGAGCAAAGAGCTGTACTTCGGACAGGTTGATCATTTTCAAGCCACCACTGATGCGCATACTGGCACGCAAGATCTGACCCGAAACATCTGCTCCATCTGTCTCAGCTGACCATGACTCCACCTCGACCATTGTATCCCAGTAGACGTAACCATGTTGAAAGGAGAATGTCACAGGTCCTCCAGTAGACGCCCAACACCAAGACGGGAGGTTGAGGTTTGAGTTTTGACCCTCACCGTTTGGGCGGGACGTTCCATGAGTGAACCAAGTGAGGCCTTTTGCGATACTAGACTCCCAAATACCTGCGATATACTTCTGGGAAAGGCGGGTTTGAAGCCTTGAAGCGATGCCTGATAGAGCTGGAAGCCTATCACGAGCAAAAGTGAAGTCTGTGAGTGAATATAACTCAAGAAAATCGTACCACGCATCTATAATGCTGCGTTCATTGCAATTCTCCAAATCGTTGAACTCGGTGGGGAACGATCTCCCCATATAATCATATTTGCTTGGGATTGTGAGATGAGGTATTGCTTCAATAGCCTGGCACCCTTGGCATTCCCATGAAAGACAATTAGAACCAAAATGCAGAATTCGTTTCGAGAGAAGTCTCTCCTGGATAGCCCAACCTCTGGAGAGGAGCGGAGAATTGCGTATCTCGCTCTCCCAGAAGGGAATTGGCCGTTGAGTAACGAGGCGTCTATAAGTCTGTGAGAATATAAGAGGTTGAGAATTGAATTCCAAAGCCGGTCTGGGTAAAAACAGGCCTTGACTAGCCGACGTAGCGCCGGTCGCAGCAATTGTCAAAACAGAGTTTTCGTAGTAGTCACCAAACCTTCCTGCTTCGTAAGACCAATCGGTTTTATGCTGCTCATCGTTCGGTCCCTCGGATTGCAAGATGCATAATGCGTCAACCCACAGGTACCTAATCCCAAGCTTTCTTGTAAATATGATTGCGTCCTGTACAGTCTTTGCAAGACTATTCCAGGGAAGTGATGTAGTCATTTGATGGATATTGGACGCTGTAGTTTTTGCAAAGGTTGGATCAGAGCCCCATGCATAGCTCAATACAGCATATTCCATGTCTTGGACCGGTTGCTGAGGAACCAACAACTTGGGAATGCCTTGTCCATCGAGGGACCCAACATCAATAACTCTTGTTGGCAGGACTTTTGTCCTGTTTTGGGACCTTGAAGCCCTGCGGCAATTCATATGAGAATTATGACACTCGAGTATCCAGGTTCTGGCTAGCTCGGCCGCGTCTTGAAGACCCTCATTTGAACAAATATCCAGTATTGGCCTTTCAACTTGTGACCATGATGCATCAGGGGCTTCGCACCTGTCATCTCGCATCGCTAATGGTACTTCATTCCACACACCATCCTCACCGTAGCAGATCCTCAAATATGTATCTCCTCTGCCTTGATCCGCCCAACATATTCGTAAGTGAATGGCTTTTGTTTGGTAACGTAAATCCCACGAGATGCTGGTTCTGTAGAAAGAGCACTGGTAGATATTTCGACACAACTGACAGCCGTTTTGCGCCTTTTCCCGAAGAGCATGTATGTCGGAGGCAATAAGAACAGTAGGGTGTTCATTCTGACTCTTCGTTTCTTCAACCTCGTTAACGAATTTAGAGCACTCGATGCAAAGCGGTGTCGACATAGCGTTTAGATGGAGGACGCAAGATCTTTACCAACAGAATCGAAAACGAGCGGGGGAGGAGGCAATAATGATCGGATGGGCCCTTTGCATTGACACCCCACAATTGCACCCGACAAGGCATGATCTGCGAGCCAGTATGGGTGTTTCCACCAGGGCTGTGAGGTTATGGTGGGTGAGATTCATCCCTGTCATACAGAACCCCTAACGACTTGGCAATAAAGACACCGCCGTATTAAATGGCAAATAAGAGGCCAGGATGAATACTTGAGAAAGTTGAAGATTCATCATTATTTCCCCACACAGGTTCAGTTGAGAGAGTAAACGAAAGGCCATTCATTCAAAGTCCTTTTATGAAAATCACACAATACTATCGAATAACCCACCATGTACTCAATTATACATGAAGTCTCCGAGTATTGACAGCTCGACCCGCAAAGGATTATACTGCACAGTGCAACAGTAATTCAGAGATCTTGGGGGGTCTCGCAAGATGCCCCTACCGTAGTTCCACTATTGACAACTGAGTTATGCTTCATCACCAAACCATTCAACATAGCCTTGAAATTGTAGACGATACATAGGCGTTATCAACACATTTTTCACGTTCATCTCTCAATTATATCAAAATATTCGGCGAATCGTGATTTTCTTTACGACAGTTACTGCTTGAGTCGATGATTTGAGGCGTGCATCAAGCACGCAGGCGGCACGTGTATCGCATGCAATGTGCAAGAAGTTAGTTAAAAACAGAGTTTGATCTAACCCAATTGTTATATCCGACGAATGCGTTACCTGGCGCAACAAGATTGAGTTGGCATCAACATGCGTAGTTTACAGTTTGAGTGTTACTTAGATTCTCTAAACATCCCAAACTCACTTCAAGTATGTTTGACTTAGTCGGCAAGGCATTTTGGAGGAAAATGCAACAACTTGCAAGCTACCAATGGTTGTACTCAGCCATCTCTACAGGGGATAACAAATTAACATGTGTTGGTTAAACGGAGGGCAAAGAGAGTCGAAATGCAATTAAACCATCCTCTCGTTAAATAGTTTTAAATCTCAGTTCCATGTGTATTGTATTCAAATGCTACTATTCCTTTTAAGGATTCTTAACAATGACGAGTTGTTTTACCAAAAATGGTGGATACGAGCTTTAAAATTGACAATACTGTCACTGCTGTGATGAAACTATCGCCGAAGTCCTACCATTATCTCTCCTAAAAAAAATGACAGCATTCTGTCTGGTGCCAACAATCGCTCATGCTTTATGGCAGAGTCATAGTAGTTCAAAGATGCCGCCGGGATCTGTTTGGATGATGTTTTGCCCAAGTTTCATATTCGCAGCCATGTTTTCGTTTTTTTCCTTTAAACCATGTCGACTCTTGCTTAGTACTAACCTGAATTTATAAGAGTTGTGAATGTGACTGCTGTCTTGGTATGCGATTTAACTGTAGACCAATCCTTTTTGGATCCGTAATTGATTCACTCCTATTCTCTGTTCCCGGCTCATGTAACAATCGGCGCGTCCCTAAGAAGGGTTACTTCCTTTGGACAAGAACCACGTAACCTGGAGCATCCGGTGCTCTTACGCAATTTATCATCGATACCATAACAAAGAGCCACTGCATTGTGGGGAGCTTTTTTAACTTCAGCATCGGCCTCTAATATACAGTTCGAAATGCTCAACTGCATCATCCCAGAAGAAAATGCTGTAACTCTCCAATTATCAGTTCTTGCGAACCAGCTTCACAAATGAGGTACCTCTATGTTGCGAGTGACGAATGACGTTTCTTCTGGGTTGTAATCGAAGTAGTTTGGACATTCAGAGTAAATGGAGAAGGCTCGGGATTTAGTAAAAGAGCGTACAGAAAAACACATAAACAAAGTAAAAAGTAAGCAAAGTACCTATTTCTCCCTCCTACTCTAAAGTACTACGGATATCATGCCGCAATCAGAGATCATCCCGAAGGTAGTTGAAGGTGACAAGGTTATGAGGAACCGTATTATCAATGGAACCATTCGAGCTGAGCTCCTCCTTCACTGCCACTATCAACAGTTCATCCCAAAGAACCAACGCATTCTGTACCAGGCCTGGGCTTGGAGTATCTCATCCATTGTTTCCGTGTGCATTTGAATTAGATGCTCTTCAAACAATCGCAAAACAAACGGTAGTCATCCAAAGCCAATGGCAACGCCACCCCTAGTTCACCGCTGAGCGATTCGGGAGGACAGGCCAAAGTTAGAATTGAGGTGGAAGCTGTGGATAAGCCTGTTGAGATTGGACATGTGGAGGCGATAATGTTGTATTAGAGAACGTTTGCTCGTCTTTCCTACCATCGCACGTCTAATGTTTAAGAGATCGTTCCCGAAGGAGACACCTGCAAGGCTCAATTTATCCCTGGTGGTACGAAAGTCGGTTATTGAGCGCGGGGAATCTTTAGACGTGAGGATATCTGGGTTTCCGACGCTGGTGAGGTTCGTTCTGAGAAGGGCTAGAATTTGAACTTGGTCAGGTCGGAGCGATCATGGTCAATGAGGTCCAATGTGGTTCCTCGAAGCACGTTGACAAGAGTGAGCAAGGTGACTCAGACGAAGTAAGGGGTCTTTGAGAGGGAAGGCAAATTTTGGAGAGCTCCCCGGTCCTGAGCGGTAGTTCACCACTCCAGGTCAGTCTGGACGTCTCACTGAGCCATTTAATTGGCAGTGTGTACAAATATTGTATTGACCTTGCTTGACTAAACCATCGCCGCAGATTCCAAGTCGCTGTATTCCATTCCATGGCTACTATAGCTGCGTACTGGGAAAGAAGGTGTCAGTGAAGCTAAAATGCATATCATTCGTCTATCCTCCTTATTCTTCTCTTGTGGACTGAATATCGTGTCTGAAGTCGCGGTGAAGAATTGATGTTTGCCGATGAAGACAACTGAAATGTTGACCTCTAACGCTTGGGCATATAGAACCAGTAATTAATACTGGAAAGGCATTACTGAAAAGCCATGCCCCAGTCCACTTATTCTTTTTGGTGAAATTCGATTTGTGCGGACAGATTAACCTTTTTTCAGAGCATTAAGGAAACTGAGAAGGCGTAGGCGAAAGTCAAGAGATTAAGAAATTGAAACTCAAGGGGTAGTCAGAGAAAGATCACGAGACACGAGGCTGTATTAGGCCCGATGTTGCCAATCAAATAAAGCTCTTCATTAATACCCAGGTAAAAACTGTACGGATTGCCAACACTCTTCAACAAACAACAATTTCATACCACTATCTTCCCTCAATTTCCACCGTTCGGGTTTTCGTATCACTAGAATCAAAACCCGCAGCCCACTTCCAGTTGCACTCAGTTTCAGTGAAAAAAGTAATGTCACAGGTGACATTTGTTCCACACGTGACGTTCGACCGGCTCGACTGTCCGAAGCAGCGCTCTCCACCGTCAGTGTAAGACAAGTGGGCATTCCTTTTCGTCTCACTAAGACAGATTTCATCTATCCAGTCAAAGATGGTGGTCTGGCACCCATCGAGCTTCCCACCAATGGGGTGGGATGTGCCCTCAGTGTCCTGGTAGGTTAAAGAACGTTCTCCCGTACTCCAGATGACGGTCACCAACCTGGCTCCGGAACCACCAGCACCAACAACGCCGAGGAGGGAGACAAGAGCAAGAGCAAGACAAAGCTTCATTGTGACTACGGGAGCTAATTAGTTGTGGTGACGAGCTAATGCAGACAGGCATAACTTACAGAAGATGGAGGATCTTGCTGGTTGGGAGGATGTTCTGGGTTCGTGGCTGGTTTGAGTTCATGAAGGAATGATAGGACGGGTGCTGTAAAAACCAAGAAAGACGGGGGACACTAACATTTATACTAAATATTTCCGTCGACAGTAATGTGTATGAAAAAGGTTACTTTTGAGACTCTGACTTTTTTCATAAATCTGCATGGGCGACGGAAACCTTCACTGCTAAACTTTCACAGCCCCACCTCATAGAAATCAACACTCCTATCCTCTGATTCGCGGTCTGTGGCACAAGACTACTGTCAATACCAGATAAGAACAACTGAGTTTGAACTCAAAATGATTTTGTCTGTGGCTCCTAAGGCAAATGTCATGGTAGACGAAGTTTAAACTATTTGTCGCACATATAAGAGCATCGACTGCTCTGCATCAACCAAACAGTTCATCTTCCTTCGCTGTCTTCTATGCCCAATCATTCAACTCTGCCCCCCTGTTAGGCCCATGGCAAAAGATACCAACACCGTCAGTCCGGAACAAGTATAAACACAATATCCTCTTGCCGATTGTTGTAAAGATGAACGACATGCCAACACCATCCTCTACTACCCTTAAACGGCAACCCGTCAACAACCGAACATCTCCTCTTCTGCGTCTTCCAACCGAACTTTACTATTTGATATTCGATTATCTTGACCCGGTAGACAGTACATGTCTCGGGCTTACCTCCAAGAACCTCTATCCGATTTACCGCCGATACTTCAAATACCCGGTTCCACTGGATGCTTGTGGTGATATTCCAAAAACCGCTAAGTTATGGAAGGAACAATACTTTCGTCGTGGGCGAAAGGTGGAGTGTGCGAAATGTGGTAAGTTCAAATGTGTATTGCACTATCATATAAAGGAGTTCTTTGCTTCAGACCAACAGTACTGTTGCATTTGTCAAAAGTTCAAACATATGAGGAAAGACTGGGGCGAGGAATTATGTGCATGGCATTACCGTGTGTATACGAACATTTGGCCTCGGCTTTCTCTCGTTCCGCGCCACCATCGCAAAGCATACAAAAAGCAAAGTCATTTTCAGAACGGCATAATATATCTTAGCCACTTGTAAAAGTAAGTGTGTCCCAATCACAAATTACTAGGTTCGGTGTTGAAGGTCGGGAAATGTTGGCTTATTCGCAAAGCTAGAGGGTGGAAACATCACAAAAGACAGATAAGAATGACATTTGTGGTTGCATTCAGTCAGCAGAGGTTATAATGATGAAGCATTGAAAAGGATTGACAAAGCGGACTGATACACGTCTTGCGTTTGAACAGTACGTTTGTTGTTATTAGGTGAGGGTGATAAGGTAGAGTCAGTCAGCTCCAGGGACTGTACTGAGAATTAAAACAAGAAGCAATATTCAGGCTGGCAAGCTAAACTCCTTGATTACAGTCACTTCAATCCACGTAATTTACGCACCAGCAACGTATAAGTAAGTACTTTCTGTTGAGTCTGTATTCTACATAGCCAATGCTGCCAAATGTTTACGTGGCGAAGCTGTCCTTCGACTACATCAGGTACAATAATTACAAGATATCAAGCAATAGGTCTTGTTTCATTATTAAGGTAAGGACTGTATAAGTTGGTCGACCAGATACAAGACTCAACCCACGCCACCACTCTTCAGACGGGGAGTATTGGTCGTAGAGACCGTTGACTGTACACCCCCGATCCATTAAATGATGTTGTTGTCCACATCATCATCAATTTCAGGGTCAGCAAACCTCCAGTTACATCCGGATTCGGTCAATGTAGTGGTGGTGCAAGTAACGCCGGTTCCACACGGACTAGTCTTTGAGCTGGACTGTCTGAAGCAGCGCTTTGTGCCGTTCGGGTAAATTATGTGTGCCCTCTTCCTGGGCAGGTCAATGCAAACCTGCTTGATCCAGTCGTAACTAGTGCCCTTACAACCGTCGGTCCAGTTGCCGAGACCGTTAGCCTTGCCGGAAGTGTCATGATAAGTGGAGGTGCCAATTCCCATACTGCTGACGTGGGTAACGATTTTGGGCGTGGCAGCTTCAGCAATGCCAAGGATGGAGACGAGAGCGACGGCAAGATCAACCTTCATTTTGGCTGTATTTGACAGTCAGTCGTGATGATGGGTGGAGAACAAATTGCAGTCTGCTTACTGAAGTGGATAACTTTGATGTTTAAAAAGTGGTTTTAGGTTTGTAGTTAGTGTCAGTTGATGGGAGAGATCCTGAAGGGTTGAGAGAACCGAGGAAGACGTGGAAGACACTCTATTTTATATTCAGAATTCTCGTATGTTGGTTCGACTCGATGGCACAGCAACGTTGCTTGGACGACACAAGAGGGATTCAGCACACAATGGTTCAAAGTCAGGAGTCTAGGCTCTGACAGGCCCAGCCATATGCGTATGCGTGGCGAAGGAATGTCTTGCTTTGAGTAAAGGTAAATGCATAAGCACGGCGTCTTCAAATATTGAACCGGTCGGCCGCTGGTAACAAACGTCAATGAACTGTAAAGCCTTCTTGTGTCACGGAGATTTCACTTTGACGTTGGTAATTTCTGTACTCTACAAGATCGATACCAATTGTTCTGCTATCCATTGGAACACGCGACATCTGTTTGTTCTGGACCTATTAGGTACTTTTGCGTCACGACGAGGTTTCCAGGACAATAAGCTGTACCTTACTTCAAAACAGAATTCAGAGCCATATGTGCAAACAGTGAGGATATTTACCAGTATTTCTTACAATGTGATGCTTACATAGCAGGTTTACACGGACTTCATTGGTAACACGATAGGATTGCGGCGTTGTAAAGGAGTCGGTAACTACAGCCGCAATTCCGTCCCTGGTAGTAAATGTGAGTCTGGTTACAGTGGGTGCAAGCCAGTACCATACGTCCTCCGCAAAGGTTACCCGGTTCGTATCACTCGAGTAGCTGACATGATACGACTGGGATAAAATTATCCTGGTCAACCCCAATATGGTTCGATGCCCCGCATGCACCCACTGGGATTTTACCCGGATCCTACGGACAGGAACCAGATCCAAGAACAGAGATAGCCGAAGCTTATAATGAGGCTACTTGACAGTTTTCGGAAGATTATACGCATATTGTGATTCTAGATATCGGGACTTCGGGATGAGACAGCATGCTGAGCCGCAAGAGCGGAGAAATGCCATTGATCTTGGCTCCGGACCCCGTTACTCATGCTCGATAATCAAGGAGTGATACCAAGACGCATCAACAAAAGGCCAATTATACAACAGGTTATTGCATTCAGCAAAGTTGGGATAGACAAGAAATAATCCTACATCCGGTATTACCTGGCGGATTTCAATTCGACAGTCAAGTACGACGCGCCAAGGCATGAAAACCCACATAGAGTCCTCCCGAAACGAGTAACAACCGAACCGGCTCAATGCACATAATACGGAGTACCTAAGGTTGATCAAATTTGGAAAAGGGCCGAGTTTTCAGGTTCTATGTAATTGAGGTCTAGAATGCTTGGCTGTGTTGCCTCTGTAAGACTAAGAAACATCTAAGATATCACTCATTCCAAATGACACAAACATTTTCATCAAACTTGTCAATTAACAACTTGAAAACTATCCCAATATCCACCCCTGAAAACCACCAGCTCAAAGGTCGTTGGCGAAGAAAACAGGCTTCGCAGGATGGCGGTTGACTCTGAGGCTCAGCTGATCAGGTCGTGAGTAATGCCCCACAATGTCCAAGTTCTGCTTCGCCTTGTACTTCTCCTCCAAATTGATATCAGCGTACAAAATCCCCTCTACACCCGGGTCCAAAGCCTTCACAAGTTCCTTTCCAAAAGGTGAGAAAATCATGGTGAACCCGCCGCCGTTCTTCTTGGTGTAGTCAAAGCCTTTGACATTAGCTTTCTCGTGGTTCTCCTCAGTCAAGATCTGACTAGACAAGATGACGAAGCAGGCGCCTTCCATAGATACAATGTGGGAGAAGGCTTTGCAGCATTCGGGTGTGATATGGTAAGGCCAGTCTTCGTTGTTCTCTGGAAAGATGGATGGCCAGCTAGAGACGTGGATGTCGACGTCTTGAGAGTATTCGTAGTAGCGAAGAAGTGCCTGGGTGTGTTCCCAGCAGTTGAGGCCTGCTACCTTGCCGAACTTGGAAGGATACACATTGTTCAGGGATTCGCCTTGTCCGTCACCGTAAATGGCGCGTTCAACGTGCGTCGGCTTGATCTTTCGACGGTGGAGGACAATGGTACCGGTTTCGTCAATGAAAGACTGCCAATGTCAGAAAGAACTACGATAATCGTATACAGAAGAAGTGAACTGACCTGAGCAATGTAAAGAGTACCCTTGTATCTCTCACTATATCCCAAGACAACAAAAACACCTGCCTCACGGACAGCCGCTCGGATCTGGTCCATCTCGGGAGACTCCCTCTCAAGGGAGTTCTTGAAGTACTCGTTGACCCAAGCCGCGTTTTCGACAGGCGAATTGGCCCAAATGCTCCTAAGAATGAATAAGCTGATCTGCCCATGCTTCCAGACATTCGACGTACCATGGATAACCTGGAATGAATACTTCGGGGAACCCAATTACGTTGGCACCGTTGCTTGCGGCATCTTGAATGAGGCGGATGGATTTCTTGACACCACCTTGAAGGTCTTGCCAGACGGGTTCGGCTTGGATAGCGGCCACCTTGAGAGTCTTGGACATGTTGACGAACTGGGAGCTTGAAGAAGAAAGTTGAGATAGTAAGAATTGTGAGTGTAGGATTGTTGATCTGAATTGCTTCTGGGGACTTGTGATTACTGCCAGACAGCGGCTTTCATCGGTATTTATCTTGTGGTGGTCTGATCATGACATGATGTTATCTACGTATCTGGAAGAATGTTTCCCGGATGTGCTGATCCTCCAATTCGTCTTATCCGGGTATCAAGTTCCCACACGCTAATCTGGCCGGAATCGTGAAACCCGGAACAAACCCCTCTTTGATCTCAGACACAACGTGGCAGTTATCTCATCCATATCTCCGAAGTGCAGGGGATAGCGATTATACCAGATCTAATGTGCGGGGTAAATGACAACTGGGTACCTGCAGATACGAGTTTGTCACACATCACACGACAAGATGCGAATGCAACCTTGGGACCACAAGCGAAGGGAACACCAGTAGATTCACAGTACTAACCATCAGAGACTACTTATCCAATGAAGATTCGCATGAGACTACCAATACAATAATGCCAGTCTCAATGAAAGAAGCCAAGCGAAGATTCATCAAAGACCTGCCCATACTCCCATGACTCAAAGATATCATCAAGAGAAATCCCTTCCGTTGCCCCAATATGAGCCTGAGCAACTACTGGCACATCATCCATCTCATATCTCTCAAACTGCAACCGACTCTCCTCGGGAATCTCATCCGCCAAGCCATGTGCCCAAATGTCAATCTCCCACTCGAGAGCAAGTGACTGAATAGCCCGGATTGACCGATTCGCCCAATTCCAACTGACGTTAATACCATACAGTGCTACGATGCACGTAGTAAGACATCTCATGGCCTCGCTTCTTCCGACGTCTCCCGAGGACTTGATGTGGAGGAGATGGATGATGGAGGCTGTGAATGCTGGGTGCACTGCTGAGATGGGCACACGTTCCTATCGTTGTCAGCATTGAAGATCAAGATCAGATAAATACAAATGTACTCACTATTGTGTAGTTCTTTATGAAGATTTGTAAAATTCTGGCTATTCTGACTGCCGAGTCTTTGACTGACTTGGAGTGGATATCACCACCTTCAGGGTCATAGAAGATGGAGTTCTTCCCAGGATTGAGAAGTTGGAAGAAAGGTCGATGAAGAAGCAGGATAGTGTGGTGGTATTGTATACTGAAACATGTGTCAGCATGGACAGTATCATATGATGGAGAGTACTCACTGAAATTGGTAGACATAGGGAGGAGAGCACTGCAGACTCGAGTTGGAGATCTTCAAGCTTTTGGGCAGTCGATCAAACAATCCCACAGCTTCCAGGTGGGCCTTCATCACTCGATCTTCACGTTCCTTATCCGTCCATGCATATCTCTGAGCGTACCTATGGTCTGTCAGCCTCGTTGGTAAGCTACACGGTTAAGTGAACTTACAACTGGTCAATGACTTCAGAGGTGATCATCAGTAAATCGCAAGTATACATTGCGTTTTCGTTGATGTGAGGAGTAGGCCAAGGAGTCGATGACCGTAGTTGGGCCTCTGTGAGTAATGGGCTGTCTGGTACCAGTCCCTTCGGTTTGGTTGTCGTGATGTTGTATTCCTGGATACTGGCGGGTCTCCCCATTCCAAGACAATAGAGCCTTTGAGAGAATCAGTGGACATGTCGTGAAAGATGCATCGAATGTGGGACTTACTTGTCAAGGATGTAGATTCCCCAGAACGTAACTGTCCGTGCTTCCACATCATCTTCAGTGATCATGCTCTTGACTGCATACGATGAACAATCACAGTGGAGTCCCAGGTTCATAGCCATCCTCGACGCCATTCCAATATACATGAACCCCAGACCTTCGTTGTCGATGCAAGCCCAGTAAAGACCGAGTAGAGCTGCAGCTTGAACCGTCGTAGTGGTCGGGGCCTCATACTCATGGTGGAGCATGGTTCTAGCTTGAGCAGCAAATGCTTCTCCAGCTGTGTTGGCGTCATTGGGGTCAGTTCTAAGCTCCAGTCTTCGAGAGTACCTGGAAGAAAACGCCAGCATGGAAAAGAGAAGAAGTGGCGTGCAGTATCGATCAACATGATCCACATACAAGTCCCTAACAAACAGTTCTCTGGGGACGATGTACTGCCAAGAGTTCTGCCACCTCCAATACAAAGTAAGTAGTTCATCACGGAGCTCATCCGACGGTTCAAAGTAACCGGGCATTGCCCGTGCTGCTTCAATACCTCGGTTACGCGCCTTAAGTGATGAAGGGATCTTGATGGAGTGGTTCTGAATGAGGGAAAAGTTACTGGACGCGCCAAAATAGCGCAACTCTCCAGTCTCACCAAGAGTGAAACATCCAAGTGAATTGGCCAATTCATCCATCACATCACCCGTTGACTCAACGAGTGCAGGGCTCTGCGATGGGTCCGTGGTGGCTGGCGCCGCTTCATCGTCATTGGGACCACAATTATCGATGGACTCTGGTGACTCCGGATGTTTGTTAGCCAGCATAGCGAGCTGCTTCTCCAAGCTAGCGACTCGGGCCTCCAATGCGGTTATGTAAGCATTAGTGTGGCGTCTGATGTGACTGTCAGCATTCGGGTAAGACTGGGTACCGGATGTACACACTTCCTGTTGCTTTCGGCCTGGGTATATTCACAGTCTTGGCCTCGGTCACCACAGGCGCTGCACCGCGGCTGACTTCCGTCGCACTACCTCGGATAGACGAGTTAGAAGCCGATACGTTCATGGGATGTGCAGCATCGGACGATAAGCACATGGATCTTGCATCGGATTGTTACCTTTGTCCTCTTGACTCTGCATCCATTGCATGCCAGAGATGCCCTCTTCCTAGGGTTCGGGTTCTGTGGGGTTTCTTTGACACGTGGGTTTGGATCAGACATGATGATTGCGAGATTCAGATATGATGTGGTGTCAGTTGGAGTATACTATCGATTTGGTTCAAGCGTATGACGGTGAGAATTGAGGTGAAGTCAGAGTCAATGAAAAATCCCCCACTGTTGTTTCTAAACGAGAGATCAGGACAAGTCTATGGGTGATAGCTTATCGAGTCCAACAAAACTAAGGTTCGGGGCTAACACATATCGAGTTGGTATGATGGAGCTGCTGGGTGATCCCCTCACTTCTCTAACCTGATTGAGAGGAGAACTGTCAAAGCGTCAGGTACCGTTGTGTGTCGTCTGTGTCTTGAACCACACAACGCCCGTAGACAAACTCCATCTTGACCGTATATCCAATCGGTTAACTATGGGCCACCTACACAGAGATTCCCATGAGTTAAATTTCCAATCTAAGTAAGAATGAACTTCTACCGTAGGTACAATCTCCCCTCCTGATCTGAAGCGCACTCAATTGAGAACATGGTGCCCAGTCTAGAGCCTCAGAGTCGTAACCCTTGTCGGAAATATGGAGAGACATGGGTCTGTCTCCAAACTCATACTAGTCATTTCGGTAGTTCGAACTCCACCCCGCCTGGATAACAGTTATCCGGACGGACTGTCCAATCAACTTTGTTTGTCATTTGGCCAGGCCCGTCACAATAACACGGGGACTCGAACCGGACAAGACAGAAATATCAGCACGATTTTGGGCGATGGACACACTCAAACATATCAATTATTTGTGTCACTCCCTCAATCAATATCAGATTTTATGCGACGCGACTCACCGTAAAACGTCAAATTTGTTCTTCATGCACGTCGTATTCAAAGAGCGATTATCTTACAAATGCCGAGAAGCTGATACGTGTTTTCCCATCAATCAATTGTAGATCTTGATGCCTAATCTAATCTACCATTCTATGGGCTTCGATTCTATAGGGTTGTCGAAAAACGACGGCAACTTCGAAGCCTCCACCGCTTCAACGTTGAAGAACTGACCCTTGTCAAGCTTCAAAAATCCCGTGTTCTCATAGCATCCCACATACTCCGCATCAATCTCATCTTTCTTGAGAATACCAAGATCCACCCATAACAAAAGATCCCCGCCTTCCATCTCTCCACCAGGTCCATACGCTTTCATGAAATTGCGGCGAAGCGTTACGTGGGTCTTGTCGTAACGTCCCATGTGTTCCATCTTGGAGATATCCTGCCATATCAGAATCTGGGCCTGGCGAAGGTAGTCAAGTCCGGGGAAGACGCCGCTTTGTGAGTTCGCTCCGAGTTTCTTCTCTACTCCGAAGCCGTGGCATGCCCTTGCGATGACCATGCCTTGCTCGGGGCCAGCTGTGACAACTTTGGTGACCCATTCCTTTGTCAGGCCGTCGAAGTTTTCATTCCAGTAATCGCGCTCTCGTTCCTCCATGGCATCGTAGACCTGGCCTTCGACAACCATGCAAAGGTTATCAGGGAAGTCGGTGATCTTGACTCTACCGGGCCGTATCTTTTCGGAAACGGGTTGCTGATTCGCGTAGGTCGGTAGTGGGGAACTGAAGGTGTCACCTTCAAAGTCAGGGGTCATTCGAGAACGGTAAGCTCCCCAGTACCCGGTCTTGGTGGTGAGCGGTGACAAGCTTCCGCAATGACCAAACCCATATGGACCCTTGCCAGTACCCTCATACATGGCTCGAGTGGCAGGAAGGCTGAATGTCTCTCTCCAAAAGCCTGCATCGTCCGGGAGTGATGCCCAGAAGGATGAGGTTTCAGCTTTCTCCCACCACTGTTTAAACTTTTGAGGCGACTCCCAATAGCTCATCCAAATCTTCGATGGGAGGTCGTTTTGTTCCAGATGTTCAACAAAGATGGCATCTTGGTCGATTAGCTTGTCAAAGCTTTCGATGAGCTTAGATTTGGCAGCATCTGGCGCCTCAGCGTGGTATTGGCAACCGAAGACGGAGACAGTAAAGTGATGAGCCGTAGGAAAACGTGAACGAAGCATATTGAATTGTTTCACAGGGACGTAGATGTTACTCTTCAGGGAGGCTACGATGATGATGTCTATATATAAGCTCCGTGATAATTCCCCGCCTTGTGTTCTGTGATACGTGTTTCTGAAAGCCGATAGCCATTCACCTCCACCTGGTTCTCCAAGCTTCACCGGCTCGGATACGTGTTATCCTAAAACTTTAAACACTGGATCTTTGGAAAACGTAGACATTGATGAGTCTGGATAATAAATATCCGGAAGGGCAGGGGTCCCGCGAAATCCACTATTTGTTAGTGCGACAAGTCAAGGGACCAATTAAGCAAAATGTATTGTAAGTCTGACCCCTCTGGACAAGGGTCTTTGACTTCGAATATGTTGGGGATGTGAAAGGATTTTGGAGAACAGGCATGAGTTGTCGCATTCACTGGCGAAAAGCAACTCAAAGGATGGGGAGAGTCTGACTCGAGTAGCGTCAAGTTATGTGCCGGATAGATCCCTGTGAGACATTAAGTCTTGGAAGCGTTCAGAGCGGCGGTAACGGCTTGCGGTCTAAGCCTTAGATCCAGGTGGTGGGACGACGGTAGGGCTATAGCGTCAAAACTAAGGTAGGCTGTCAAACCATATATTGGTCACTTCTGTGTTTCATTTGGGCTTGCTGACAGATGGAAAATGGGCTTTTGCTGATTTGTTCTGCCCCCTAGAGAATTACTAACTGAGGTTGTTCTTGGAAGTCCTCTGAAATATGTCCGTTTATGGCACCACGCTACCATCATTCAACTCTCTGAAATGTATAGTAGATATCATTGCGAGAGCGATGTAGGCATAGATCTCTGACCAGTCAGTCGTAGTGACTGAGCCAGATTGGAGATCATGTTGCTGTTGTTTAAGGAACAATATCCACCCTCCATAATGTAACCGTCTCTCAGATGAACATCGTAATAAAGGAAGAACGGACCTCATGGAGTCCCCAGCTAGCCTTTTTTTTAGCTTTTCTGATCTTCCGATTTCCGCATGACTATCGTCCATCTGTTTTCCCCTGCGTCATGGCGTGACTTCCACGTAGATGGTGCTGTGGGAACTGGCTGCTTAGACCTTATTGCCGATGGATGATGGTGCAGTCCCCATGACACCTTTGAGGCTCTAGTAGCCCGATCCTCACTGCCTTCTGCATGAACCTTGCATTTTCGAGTAGTCGCGGGGTTAGTGTCTATGTTTGAGTTGGATCCGCTCTACGCATGGACGACCTAGGTGGAAGTTAACTCACCATCCCCAGTGTCAGCTACTCTCCCCTGCATATGCAATGCAACTTCGATATACTTTATATCCTGTCAGGATTAAAGCACCTGACCCTGTTCAAGCCTAATATGCCACAAATCTTCCGATTCGCAAACCCAGGGTTGTCACCTACATCCTCAGGGTGTCTGATATAGGTAAACACCGAATTATACCGGAAAAGGAAATAAGAGAAGCGAGGACCAGGCATCAGTAGCCTCGTGAATGTAACACTTTTTCTCAGAGGGCCATCACAAGTAAACAGAACGGACACTCAGCAAAAGACACGCAGTATCCAACCACCGCATTAGGTATTCCGACCCGATATCTACGCACCACCTGCAATTCAGCCAATTTTGAAGAATGCTAAACCTCAAAACTCCACCCGAGAGAAGGTTGACTCAAGATGTTCTGAACTTCTTCCCTATATCTATCCAGTTTGGGCGCATAAGTCTGTCTGTCTACTGGCTGCTGGTCCTTCATTGTAGTCAATCGGGTCTCCCCAGGCCGCTAAATAATAAGATGACAGCGACAGACTATATGCATTACATAGATTTTGCATTGGATGCGTCTAATACTCGTAACTAGACAGATTAATAGGTGTCTTGCCGACTGTACGCCAGAACGTGTGGTCAACTTGGGTATAGCAGTTGATCACGTGCGATTGATCGGGTGACTAAGCTCAGAATTAACGCGAGCGATGGCAATTTGACGCGCCTGCGACCAAACCAGGGCTCCTCCCAATTGACCAACTCAATTAAAAATAAATAAAGCCCAATTAAAAGGTAGATTGAGTTGCAAGGGAAAAAGGCGCATCAAAAGCCGACGTTGACTAACAGCTACTTTGTGCAAACATTAAAGACCGTGCACTATTCACATGTCGAACAACTGGCGACTGCGTAGAGATGCGCTAGGCGACGCTGCTAACAATCCATCGACTCTCAATTAACCACCAACTTAACTTAAAATAAATTACACCCGACCAATCAATCAATTAAGATACGGCGATAAAAACGCGCAAGTAAAAAAAAAGAGCGTATTCTTCCAATTAATGCGTAAAAACATCGAAGACCGTACGGTTCGCATTTGCGACAACTGTAAATAGTGAACAGCCGCCTGGGGAAGCTGGGAAGACTATTGACAATCTGTGAGCTTCAAATTGACCAACACAATCAAAAAATAATTAAAGCCCGACGAACAGGGGAATTGAAGTACGAACGAAAGATGCGCATGAAAAAAAAAACAATACTATCTTGCAATTATTGCCCAAAGACGTGCATACCTAATTCGTGTTTAGAACAACTATCAACCGCCTAGAGACGCCGGGCAAGCCTGCTAACAATCCACCCGCTCTTAATTGACCAAGGCTATTAAAAATAAATCACGTCCGATTAATCGGTCAATCAAAATGCGACGAAAAGATGCACATTAAAAAACCGACGCATTTTTGCAACTGCTGCGTAAAACGTGCTTGATCCATGTTTGGAACAACTGTCGACCGCCTAAACGCTGGAGGATGCTGTTAGAGTTCGGCCGTCCGCCCGGAAGAACCAACTCCATGGATTGAGGCTTCAATTGGCGTTGATGGATCCTCGCTTCCAGAACTTTGACCATGCGGACCCCTAATGACGTGCATTTACTTCGATCACGGTTGCAATGGAATGGGGAGAGACAAATGCTCAGGCCCGCCAATTAATTCACTGATGGAGACAGTGGAAACGTTTGGTCGTAGCCGAGGCACGGTCGCGACGAGAGACAGGGCACGGTCGGGCAAAGTCAATTAATTAATTCATGGGACAACATCAATTAAGTACGTATTAAATAAATGTTCAATTGTTTTATCGCCAACTGCGAATACATAGATAATTATAGAACCCCCTCCTAATTATTGACAAGATGTAGAATGATGGAAACCGCAGAGAAAAGACGCAAACTTAATTGACGAGTCTTACAGCTGGAAAGCACCAGCAGCGAAGGAGGAGAAGAGCAGAGCACCGATGGCAAGACCAACAGTGCTGATACCGCTCTTGGGCGCCAAAGAAGGAGCAGCGTTACCAGTCTCGGAAGAGGTCTCACTGCTGGAAGAAGCAGTGCCGGTAGCTGTGCCAGAAGAAGCAGCAGAAGAGCTATCCTCATCATCACCATCCTTGTCATCATCGTCCTTGCTAGAAACAACGCTCGCCTGGGCGGTAGCGGGGACATCGGCGTCCTTGGTCTTTGTGGTCTTCTTGCTACCGCTGCAGAAAACGTCGGCGTCGGCAGCGCCCTCACTGAAGAGGCACTTGGAGAGTTCGCCGATGGTCTGGTCGAGGGCGACACAGTAGATGCCGCAGTTGTCGTAGTAGCTAACAATCTTTGCGTCGCCACAGCACTTCTCCATCATGGTGAGGTATTCATCCTTGTAGGGCAGGGCGCAGGTGTTGTCTTGGTTGGGCTGGTTGAAGAGCTGAGCAGCGCAGGCGGTGCTGGCGCTGGGGGCCGAAGCGGAGCTGACGGTGGTGGACATTTTGACGTGTGATTGATTGCGATGAATTAAATTAGGTAGATTAAAAGCGACCGTAGGAAGAAAGAATTAACGAATGTCGGTTGTTAATTGGAAATGCGATGGTAGAGAGAAAGAGGAAGGGAGGAAAGAAAAACAGTACGCGTCGGCTACCAGCACAAGCGAAATAATGGATTGTTCGCTTCCAGGGTGGTTCCAGGCCTCGGGCAGCGCATTAAGGGGTTAATCCGGGGTCAACCAGCCTATCATGGTCCGTGAAAGCGACTCCAAATTTAGAATCCCTCGTATCACTTCTAGGATGTGGGAACACGCCAAGGGGAAAAGGATCCAGTTGCCAGGCAACTTGGGGAAAGGATCAGAGTCTGTGAGATTTTGGTACAACGGTTACTGCACGCGGATATAAGACGAGTCTGGCTGGTGTTGTTTGTCGCAAGAGACAATGGGCAATGATTACGATTACAAAAGGAAGTTTGGATGATGCAGATCAATTGACTGAATATTCTCAAATTATTTTGCTTATTGTAATGAGTAAGATAAACTAACATGCCCAGCCGTATAGCTCTTGTTGAGACCAAGATCGGATCAGATGTTGGGAAATTGATTGCGTCATGCACGGACGTTGAAATTTTGTGAGACTCCACGCAAGCTTAATTGAATTGAAATCTTGACGGTTCAATTAATTACTGCCATCAACAACATAATAAAAAATGCCAACAAGCACCAAGACATCTTGTGAATAAGACAAAAAGTCCAAATGCAGTATGGCTACAATAAATCTCGTGCGCATTTGAGAAAAACGCGAATCTGTGTCAATAACCGACCGCGGGCGGAGATTTGAGTGATTCTGCTCTGTCGTTGTAGGGTAGCAAACTGAGGAACAAGGCCCGCTCTTGACATCAGACAGCCAATCATACCCAGGTGCAGCTCAATTGACGATATGAGCAAGTTACGAAGATTATGTGTCATAAGAATCACTCATCAGTTTATCCGTTGTCTATTGGTACGGTCTTTTCTTCCAAAACGATCAATTGCTTCAGTTTCCCAAGACGTGACCGTGGAAAAAGACGCGGCCTTGTTCCCCTGTGGGGCTTACAGGGCATCTCCCATTGAACTTTCCAATATGGTTTAGTGCTGTCTCCAATTCGCGAATCGCGCACTGGGAGAGTTCACTCACTGGGGCAAAAGTGCGCCGACTGATGGAATTGCCACAGAGCCTCATCTCAGCGAGGCAACGGTTTGACTTCTCACCACAATTAAATTGAACACCTTGAATGCAGCATTGACTGGAAAAAATAACTTTATCGCATGCTCTTTTATCCTCTGTTTAGACTTAACTCTGGATACAATTTTCGAGTATTTTCGAGAAATACTGACAACGTGTAGCATTGACAGCAAAATCTGGCGCGTCGATTGCTGGTCACGTGCAATGAGAGCAGCTCTCAAGTGTGGTGCTTCCACCACCTAAGCCACTACGGGATAAAGTGAATTTTACCCTGCGTGTAGACGTCAGAAGAAATAGCTTAAGAATATAGTCCACATGAAACTGAGTTTGATATTGTGGATGAATGGTATGAGGAGAGGCAGAAGGAGCTCAATAGAATCAGCAAGTTTTTATAGAGGAAGCCGCCATATCCGGTGCCTTGAGAGAAGGTGTCTACTCTTGCTCTTACTGAGTTTTATTACACTGCTTGTCTGATGAAGTTGTCGTGATGTTGTTTGTGATTCTCTGCTGTGGTGCAAATGATGACATAAATTGATGAGAGTGTGAAGACACTAATTACGTATAAGAGTTGCGCAACCGAGCTACATAGCTAACGAATCAGACTACCCTCGTACCTTTGTATTCAACCTTGCTGTTCTCATGGTCAGTATTAGACCCTACAGCTGCACTAACACACCTGCTAGTTTCGTTACTTGCGATTATTAGGACACAGTATATACTCACCGTCAGAACATCTAAGCTGTATCCTCACTCTCACTCTCTAAAGGCCTCCAACTTGGTCTTCCCATAATGTAAGCTCCAAGCCCAGAGTGAGTCAACAACAAGAATATCACCAAAACTAAAAACAAGACTTCCCCCAAAAACAAACTTGTAATACCACCATGCATTGCCATTATTCAAGTCAACCACCTGACATACAATAGCCCATGGAAGCACATAAAGCAGATTGCTCGCGAGACTCTGATAAAGATACCATCTCGGTCGCGTCGCAACAAGGATAGCGGCAAGCTGTGTAGACATGGCGTAAAAGACATAGCACCAGTCCAGACTCCGCCACATGTATGCTGTCACTTCGGCTACCTCATCTGAGCCGCTGATGTATAACGCAAAGGGCTTGGCGCCGAAGAGAGTGAGGAAAATTGCTATGGGGACTTCGAAGATGATTGCGAGTGTCAAGGACCGAAGCGCTGGTTGTACGATACCCTGCAAATCTTTAAGTGAAGCGCGAGGCTTTCGTGTGTTGATGTCCACTCGTTTTCTCCAGTCTCCCCAGTTATGCCCGATGAACTGCAAAGCTGTGGCTTCCAACGCTTGCACGGGTACCATGATTAATCCCCAGCGGATGGTGTTGAAAACACCCCAAGCTGTAGCATACACAGCGCCGAGGGCAACGATGGTGCTGACAAGCCAAAGATACAATGCATTCCTAACAGCCGACTCGGTGAAGAATATTAAACCAGGTGGGAGAAGAATCTTGAGACAGTCGAAACTTGGTCGCAGCTTTGTCTCTTGGGGATCATGTGGTGTATGCTTGACAAAAGACCATGTGTTGGACCACAAGAAATAAACAAGGCCAGCGATAGCTGCGACAAGGTTGCAGACCAACTGTATAGTGCCTTGCATGTTGACAGTGGGTGTGAAGGAACCAACATGAAAGCGAGAGATGATAAGGAAATCGAGGATGATGTTGACGGCGAATTTAACAGTGCTGATAGCCAAAGGGATATCGGGTTTATCCAAAGCTCTTGTCGATGTAGAAACAGCCGTCTCCAATGTTCCGGCCAAGACAGTGAACGAAGTGATTCGTACATAAGTCAGACTCACATCTCTTACTTCGACTGGGACAAAACTCTTTGAGAAAGAAGATGCCGCGCCTAGAAAGATAATGCTCAGAAGTAGACCAATGGCTGTTTGAAACGCAATTAAAGTATGAGTCAGCTGTAAACGTTTGTCCAGTGACCTCGATGCTTTATCGCCAATGATAACCCAAGCAGCTCGAGGTAACCCTTCATTCACAGCTTCAGAAGCCGTGTTCATGTATGTAAACGCATCGGTCAACACAACCATTGACGAGTCAATGTTCGCGACCCATAGCTTAGACAGTGTGCCATAGAGAGCGGGAAGGATGAATGATGCGAGATTGAAGAGTAGAGAGCCCGTGTAGTGTGTACGGTGAAAGGCCGATGGCGAGACCAGGAGGCGGACACGTCGGGTGATGCTGTTGAAGATCTTCATGCTGATAGTCTTCAAGGGTTTTAATCCTTTTGATGGGGAAGGTTGAAGGATGTAACAGCGGGGAAGTGTGATTGTGTTCTGTTGATGGGAACAGTTGGAGTTACCCCTCGTCAGGTGGTCGGCCTCCCACATGAGCAGCGATACCACGAACGGTAAAAGTAGGAGAGAAATTCTGTTTTGCGGGATAAAAAACAAACTCAAGCAAGTCTTCAAAAAAACTCTCAAGTCGGATTTGGATGCATGACAAAACTGCTGTCCTTCAAGTACCGTACATTTCCACGAAATTGAACGGCCGTAACAAGCCCAAGGCAAGTTATCGGGCTTCACTGTATTGATCACTTATGTATACTATCTAGACCTAATGATGAAGGAAATAAAGTACTTTATTGATCTATTTAACCTGACATACTCTCAGCTACAGACGTTGAAGCCATCTTATCTGTACCCGATTTTAGTCGTTCGATTGCGCGGATACATACGGTATCACGGTATTGAAAATAACCGCTAGATATAATTGTTGAAGCCACATAACTTGATTCATTCATCCTCCCCTCATGCTTCCGGTAACCGTCATTTCTGGACGCTGGAATAACTCCGAGGTCCACTAAGTGGCTCACCATGAAGGCCCGGCAGACTGGGTCTTTCGCTTTCTGCCTTGTAGACCGGGAGTGAGACGCAAAGGTGGTAAGTGAACTTTGGTTGATTCGCTAGCCTTACGGTGGAATCTGTTTGGTAACTATTACCTGAACGAGGTTGATCGTCAATGACTACCATTCTCTATTGGCCCTCGCTCAACTACCGGGCGATCGCCCGCCCACCGCATGTCTTGGCTTACCTGTCAAAGCGCTCGGATAAGGTAATTATTTATTTACCGAACCATTCACCGTCGTGCGCTCGGATAAAGGATTCGGACTCAGCCAGTGCTCGGACACTTGAAGGATTGTATGTGCCTTTTCGACTTCCTATTCTTAACTGTAGGACTCCTTGGAATGTTGATCGTGATATGATAGGATCCATTTGTCCCCGATGATAAGCAAAGAATAGTTCACCGATATTGAATGGCATTCGAGTATAAATGGACAGACAAAGTCCCCTTCATTATTCTAAGCTCATCAGCAGCTCATCGCTTCACACCAATCAAACACCACCTCAACAACAAGTCGACTCTATTGTTCCTGTTTCAGCCATGAAGACCTACGCGTTTATAGCCTCACTTTTTGCCTCAGGTGCTCTGGCCCAGAGCGCTGTAGCTGATTGCCACCGCGAAAAGTCCCCAGATTGGAAAGACTGTGAGTCTTGAATCTGACATCACATGAGCGATTAAAACTGACAATGTCGGTAACAGGCGACAGTCTCTGGAATACCCTAGGCTGGAGAGCTGGCAGCCCCAGGGAAGTCACCCGCAACTGCGGCAGAGACACAGACATCAAGTCTGGGTGCCTTGTTTACTACGAGGGCTCATGCCAAATCGCCCAGTGTTTTACTAGCGATGCATGCGTTGGCACCTCCGAGGGACTCATGGTGACGTCTAAGAAGATCGTCGAGAGTCAATGCAGACGCGATGACCTCGGTGGTCGTTTCACCGACGGACCCAACAAGTACTTTGAGATTATTCGCTACACGGGTATTCCTAGCCCTCGCCGTCGTTCTGTACCATTTGGACAGGAGGAATACTCTCTGGCTGAGTACGAGCGCATCTTTGGAAAGGACCGCGACATTGCCTTCTCCAAGGTCATTGACCAAGATGACGGCAAGGTCGAGAAGAGAGATGGCAAGTGGATCAACCTTGTTACTCGCCAGGGTGTCATCAAGCCCGGTGAGCGCAAGCGAGTCAACGCCAATGAGCTCGCACCCGGTATTGAGCAGACTTGGGAAGAGTCTTCGTCTTACAGCATCGAGGTCGGCGCCACTGCTGGCGTGTCTGCTGGTCTTTTCAAGATTTTCGAGGCATCGGTGCAGATCAGCACTAGCTACACTGAGTCCTTCAGTGCCGGTAGTTCTCTCAAGTACAGCAGTGGAAACTGTCCCAACAACGCCAATGTCTACTACGCACCTGTCTACACCATGTACGAGGGTAAGTTTTCTGACCGGGATGGCACGTATAAGATCTGGGTTCCTCGGAACGTAAATGGTGTGCTTGAGGGACGATTTGTTGTTGAGTGTGTTGGAACTACTCCCGCTTAATGAAGAAGTGGAGAGAGTTGGGTGGTTTGACATTTGTTTCTCGAAAAGAGATGGACTGGGTGGTGGTGAATGGTGGTCTGGATGGGCTTCAACAGGGACCTCCCCATCATGCAGTCTTAAGGATGGATCAAGTTGACTGAAGGGGATGCGAGGGGAAATGAGTAGATTGGATTACATTTGATGTAGATATAAGTAATTGTTGACTGTTGCAAAAATATTCGTTTTACTGTAAATCCCTTAATGTATCGAGTCTACACACTTGGAACAGTTGTTCAAGCAGCTGAATATGCGCAACTACTCCTTCGTGAGTTACACGCCTGTGAGTAATAAGGTGTGTCTTGAGTTGCTGCTTATGAATCGTTTCAGTGGCATTCGCAGCTGTTTGCGAATATTGTCTCAAAATAAGACAGACAGTAATCAGGTGTTTGCATACAAGTGAACAAAAATGCAAGACAAGCGATGGTGGGAAGGGAAGATATCAATAACGAAAAACAAGAACCAAGGTTTCTAAAGCGTATCGGACATCTCCGGGAAAGGTCTTCTGAGCGTTGGAGCCTTCGAAAGTTCTTAATGTTCAAGCTGAAAGTGAAACGGGTGTCTTGTTACTCGAATCCAAACCCGATCTGGTTTCCATAAAGGAAAGTTTAATTCCGCGTGCAAACACCTTGCGTCTTGAATGCAAGATTTATACATGAGTCGTGTGAGCCTGCATCGGGATGTATGCAAGTACGTAGCAAGTGATATACCCATACCAGTGACGCAAGAAGCGGACATGCCCAAGACAAGCTCAACGTACTTTGATATATCCATCATCACGTATCAAATGATATAATGCGAAATTGTATCAAGTCAACGGGCGGTTTTGATACATCTGTTATATACTTCTACGCTTCCTTCCACATCTGCATGTCTTATACCTTGCATTTGCGTGGTGAGTTCTTAGCGGTTAAGGTAATTAACTACAGTCATTCCTCTTTAGATCAAATACAATAAGTGCAAGTACTTTATCTTTAGTATTTGACCTACAACTGAAAAAAGTTGTTATTTTCTGCTTCCCAATTTTATGCTGCTGACATCATATTGTAGTTTCGAGGCGCGACAAGCTTGCATTCACGTTGCAGTTTGTGTACATTGAACATACTATGTAGTTACCCCACTTTCCAAGCGTTCCAACTGCTGGCACTATGCTGTCTCAAAGTGTTGCGCCTGGGCTAAGTGTAGGTTCACTCGCGGATTGCATTCCACTTGTATGGTCTCAGCATGTAGCGATGTGGGGGCAATCATTGTAAGCTTGCACGATTATCTCCTCCACCTACTAGTACTAAAGTCCAAGTCCAAGAACCAGACAATGAACAATCGACCGCGGCAATTTTTCCAACCAATGATTAGCATCGTCTGTTTCGAGAGCATGGAGTTCCAAAACATCTCGAATGCCACTGTCTTGTACGCATCCAGTTTATTACAATTGCTGATTCGTTTGTATTCTATCATAAAATATCAATAACTTCTTCATATAACAGGAAGTGACAAGTGAAATCGGAAATCTGCTCTTCGTTATATTGTTTTCGTTCAAGCGGACACTCGTTTTCAACATATCAGCCCCTATCATGCCGAATGAGTTATATTTCAATCAAGACGTCTTTGGGAGCTTAATATGCCACGTGTTGATTCCTTGTGTATCGCTCCCTGAACATGTCGCGCTTCACATGTCCGTAATGACATATTACCTAATCAAAATAGAGAAGTAACGTGCTTAATGATCATCTGTATTAATTCTTCGCCCTTGTTTCTTTTGACCCCACAATAACCCTGTGACCCAAGGCCTGTGCCGTGTTCAATCGTTTCCAGGTTTCTAGTTCACCCAACATTTCAACTCATTTTGCCCGTGTGCAAATGAAAGATTGTTACCTGGGGGCCTTGAACTTCCATTTTTAGGAACGGGTATGGAAAGAAATCCCATCTGTGGACCTGCATACTTTCACCCCAAGTGGTGGTATTTGAAGGCAAGTGTTCAGTCCCAGAGATAGCCCATACGATATGGTGTGAGAAAGACTGTTTTCAACTTTGTAGTGATATACCAATATATAATTATTATTAATAACAAATTTGAGAAATATAACTATTGGTGATCTCTGAACCTTCATGCTTTATTCTGAAACTTTATAAAGATTTTGAAATATTCTTATCAGCCTCTACCCGTTGTTTGTGACTTCCAAGAAGTAAGGTCTGTATAATAGTATTCCCCATCAACAACCTAAGGCGTGACCATACCTTTGTCTGAAAGGAAATATCGCTTCCTGGTAGAAGGTCGTCATCGTATTCGCAATTTTGGTTGTTGTGGAAGAAAGTGTGAAAAGAAGAAGAAGTGTCTATCTCTGGAACGTGGAAAGTTTTAAATGAATCATAATAATGTTGCTACTATATACTTTGCCTTCTATAACTCTGAGTGGACAGTTCGCGTTCATTGTTCAATTCTTCCCCGAAGAATGCATTGCTACCAGAAATCGAAGAAAGGTAATCCATTACATTCTATTAGAACAATTGTAAAGTGACTCGTCAAATACCAAGGCATCAATATTAGTTTTAGTTGTAGTTATTAAAATCATAGATAGATGCAATGTGTCGAAGAAGTGTTGCGGCTGCGAAACTGTGTTCAGGAAGAAAATGTTTACTCCCGAAATACCAAGTTGGAACAAGCTTGAATACATTAGAAGAGTTGATGATAACGTGCAAGAGGTAAGATCAACCTTGACTTCTTATGTCTTCAATCGGAGCATTCTATCCTCCATCTCTACTTTATCGGCTCAGATATAACCCGTAGAATGTTATACTCAGTAATCATTGTCGTTGTCGTCAGTGGTTCCAAACGAAATATAGTCTCCGACCGTCCGCCGTACAAGACTGTGGATATTCCCATACCTGTCTTGGTGGCGTTGAAAAGTTCTGTTCAACCACTCATCCTCGTTGATATATGGAATGTAATGTTCTTTACACAATTGCAGAAGACCGTTGTCATATTCCTCCGACCTGTATACAAACTTTCGGCAAAAATAACAGTATTGCCATTGCGCGCCAAACCAATCTTCAATGTGGTAATGTATAAAACAATCTGTAGTATTGCATTTCAAACACACCGTCATACCTTTATAAGGTTCGCCGATTCGTGTGAACCCCCATATTACTTCTATAGGCCCGTCACCGCTTATATCCAGCGGAAGGCGTTCTTTGAAACGTAGACGGTGGATAAGATAGAGAACTCTCGAGTTTAGCCCAAGGGATGTGCTGTCAATCGGGTCGAGATAATCGAATATCATGTGCTGAAGCTCGCGTGTAAGACGCAAGAGCGGGAAGGGCTGACTATCAATGAGTGGCCGTTCTTCAGCGGGAGAGATGGTGTTTGTCGTATCAATGGTTAGTAGACGGAGAAATGGGTGTTGGGTTGACGCTGTTGATGACTTTTGATTGTTGTAGAAAGGGTGTGAAGGAAGAATGATTGTAGCTAGTAGCGGGAGAATGCCCTTTATATATTTTAGAATAAGTTTGTTACTAGAAACTTTACATATCAAAACCTTGCTACAGACCGGGGCTTCTGGTAAGTTTAGACTTATAGAATCGTCAACAAACACCAACCAGAAGACGTCAAAAGCATACGTAAGTTCAAAGAAATTGGATTTAAAGTTCTAATAATGTGAAGTTGATAATCTGTTGAGTTACATGTGGATATTTCAGGCCGATTTGTTGTATTTGTAAGTTCAAGCAAAACGCAAACGTTTCAAAGAAATAACACTCAATTTGACATTCCTGCAATCTGGTTGGTCGCTGGCCATGTTAGGGACAGTATGAACTCCGAAAGACGAAAAGGAAATGGCAAATGGAAACACCAATAAAAACCACCATAATGTCACTCGACATCCAAGAAAGGTGCTTGTTCTTCCCGTTCAACTCTTACTTCATCTCGGCGTAGGCCACCTGAATAGTCACACCCTCGGTATGCGCTTCAGCAACCGGTACATTGACAACAGTAGCCCGAGATCCGGTATCAGTCCTGGAGGTGACATTGCTGTTAGACGAGTCAACCTTCGCAGTGTTGATGTCGACTGAGGGCGCATGCCAGAGAGCGAGGGTGTACTTCGTTCCGATCATGAAGGCGAGATCACCGAAGCCGTTGAAAGGTGACTTGATGGTAACGGTGCGAATGAACTTAACTGCAGTTTGTTCGTTGAAGGATTTGGTAGTCTTCAGAGGGTTAGCATGAGAGTCGTTCGTTGTGCAGAGGGATGTACCTGGGAAATCTCAACCTGACAGTATTTGTTGGCCGCCTTCTCATCGCTAACGTTAAGACCACGCCCAACGACGGGAGCACTGTCTCGCGAGATACCATCATCAAGATACATGATGTAGGTCTAACGAGTGTCAGTTCAGACAACTACCAGCTTTGTCAGATTGTACTTACGTTGTCCTTTCCTGGGTAAACATGCAGTGTAATCGGATTAACGTCCTGTGCAGGAAGCGAAGGATCAGGGATGTAGTCTCGGACTTTGATCTTGGGAATGATTCCACCCTCACGGATGTACATCGGTGTAACGTAGGGTAGCTGAGAATCCTGGTCACTGATGCGACAATCATACTCAATTCTACTTCCACCATTGGCAGGTTCAAGCAGAGGAGCGCCAAGATCTTCATCGGGTCGCAGATTCATGGTGTACCACTTGTCAGGGTAGGGGAGATACAACTTGCGGGTGCGGCGCTTGGATTCCGGGATCAAGGCTGGTGCGACGAGGAGGTCGTTTCGCACCATGTATTGGCTGCGAGTGAACTTTTGGTTCTGACTGGTTAGCAACGTATACACTCTGGGTACAGGTATACTAACATCAGCACTGAAGAGACTACGGTCAATGTCATCGGTGATAACCTGCATCAAATATTAGCAGCATTCATACCAACAGGAATCAGACTGACCATGGCTCTTGCGATTGGCAGTCCGGTAACCATATTCTCAAACATGGCGTCGTACATCAGCTGCATCAAACTGTACCGCAGTCGAATCAGGTAACGACAGATTGGAAGCACAGCACGGTAGATCATCGCTTCCTGTCCTTGGAATCTCCAGCTATTCGCCTCGTAGTACTTCTGATACGCATACGGTTCTTGGAACAGCTTGCCATCCTTCCTCATCGTTCCTTTCCTCGGACCATCAATCCAGTCGCGTCGCTTGGTATAGTGGTTTCTGAACCACGGAAGAAGAGAGTAGGCAGAATACCAACGAATCAGCAACTCCGGGTTGACAAAGTCGCGCTCAGAATCAATAAACTCGAATCCACCTACATCTTGGCCGGAGATGGTGATACCGGACATTCCCAGAGCAAGAACCTGTGCGACCGAGATGCCCAGAAATTCCCATGTAGAGGCGTTGTCACCTGTCCATAGACCTGCGAAACGGTGACTGCCGACGAAGCTTCCACGGCCAATGATGAAGTTTCGTCTGTTCTCGCGCCACTCGAGATCTGGACTGACTTTGTGGATGTTGTTCAAGCCGTGATAAGTGGCTTTGTGCAGATTGTAACTGTAGAGTGACCAGATCTCGATGGCCTTTTTGCGTGTGGCCTTGGTGGAGTCTTGACACCAACCATCCGAGTCAAGGTTGAGACGGAACGGGAGACTGCTGTCGTCAGTGGATGGACTGTTAGAAACTTGAAGTTGACCTCACTTACCCTTTCATATCACCGTACTCTTCAGCGATGCAAGGCCCCGTCATGTCCTGCCAGACGAAATCAAGTCCACACTCAAAGAGATACTTGTACTGCTTACCCCACCACTTTCGAACGTCCTTGTTGTTCAAATTGGGATAATGACCAGGATGACCATTTCCCCACCCATAGAAAACACCACCATGGAAAGGCTTCTGACTGTTGAAGTTGTCTTCGAACTTCGACTTGTCTTCCTCAAAGTATGGTGGCTTCTGTGTGTTGGGATTGAGGAAGATCTGGTTTCCAACAGACCATCCTACATAGCGCTGATCCCACACATTGGGAGCCGAAGGGTCAACGTCGCGGTCATCTTTGATGAAGCGTCCATCCTTCAGACCCTCGTTGAGAGTCGAGTAGGTGTCACTGGGAACCGAGTTGATGTATGGAGTAATGTTGGTACTACACTTAACACCCTGTTCTCTCAGAGTCTTGAACATCTGGACAGGATCAGGAAAATGCTTATCACGCTTGTCGATGGTAAAGGTTCGGTAATCGTCTTGCATATCGACATCAATGTGCATGCCGTCAATTGGGAAGCCGCACTTGCGATATTCAGCGACTGACTCGAGGACAGATTCTTGACTGTCGTATCCGTAGCAGGCCTGATGGTAGCCAAGAACGTATCGGGGCTTGAGGCGCGGTTTGCCGACAATAGAAGTGTAAGAAGTGATGAGATCCTGCATACTGTCTGCAGCGACCATGATGGCGCGGAAACTGTTGAAGCGCGTCGCGACGCGAATTGCGCCTGTATCCTTGACACCTACATCAACACAGATGTGGGAGTAATTGTCAATGAACGTTGAGACCTGTGATCGATATCCAGGGTGGGAGTCAACCTCGATCCAGAATGGCTCGGAATGATAGAGAGGCTCGCGATCATCTAGAGGTCCTTTTCCATAGACGTTCTGGTACCTCATGTTGTCAAAATCTGCAGCAATCAGGATTCACGTATGCATACACCGTTTGGCCATTTGACTCACTGAAGTAGTTCATGTACGTCTTCTTCTTGAACAAGTCTTTTCCGCCTTGTTCGCCGAAACCCATAAAGTCCGCAGTGACAGACTTCTCGATGGACAGAATTGTAGCTCTCTCGGTGTATTGCAGGCCCCTAGGTCGGGTCTTCCAAATGATCGCAGCCTGTGCGCCTGCAGTTCTAGGAAGCTCAAGCTGCTTAGAGCTTGCGTAGTTAACGCTCTGGAGCTCAGGGAGCTTCTCGGCAGGAGGGTTGCTTTCGAGCACGCGAATGACGGTGATCTGAAAGGGGTCTCGTTGTATCCAGATTTGAAGCTGGATTTGACGATTGTGATTGTTGGGGTTCAGGACGGACTGGAAAATGATGTATTGAGGATCTTCGACGAGTTCAACATTCCAATCAATGTTCTCGAGGCCATCGAGGGTTTCAATGAGACCACCAGGGCCACTCAGAGTGTCTTTGACGATTGTTCGGCTTTTCAATTGTGAGATACAGTCCATACGTCGACATTGTTTATTACTTACGTGTTGAAGTCGGTAAAGTCTTCACCATTTCGATTGTTAGGATCGAAACGAATCTGCCAAACCTTGGGTCTCATAAACTGAATCAAAAGAAGAGAACCATCGTCGAAGCGAAAAATGCGACCGTGAGAACAAGCGGGGTTAAGCTTTCCATCACTCAAAAGTTGGTCATCCTGATTTAAGGTGATTGTTCGAGGGCGCTTGACTTGAGTAGCACCTGAGTCAATACCCTGGAAGAAATCATCTGACTTGATAAAAATGTAAGGATCACTAAGCTTGGTATCTTCTGCCCAACCCATGGTGATGATTCAATGTAGGTGTTAGTTCGGAGACTGAAAGAACGGTTTGAGTGAAAAGGTGAGGGACTGGAAGAAAACAAGATGAGCTAATGTCTCGTATTCATACACTAATGTGTTCGTCTTGGTTGTTCAGCTTTCCTGTCGTGCAACAATTTCACGGTCTGTGATTGATTGAAAATGCTGACATTGCAGTAATATTGCGGTGAAGAGACCCTTCTTACTCACATATGCATTCGTGTCATTACGGTCATGAATTGACCACCATTATTGGCCAATCGCTCATCGCTTAGCGAGTACGAGTCTTTTCAACTGATGCTACCCTACAGATACGTCTACAGTCAGATCCTTCAGCCAACGCTTCTTATCGGGAATATCGCAGTCTCTCTTGAGACTAGAAAATAGTAGCAATAAAACAATTGCAAGCTATTAGACCTCACTCTGTCCAGTATTTGTTTGCGGTATCCTTGAATGCTACGCGACGATGTTTATGTGTGGAGGGTTCCTGCGGAGAAATAGAATTGGCCGACGACTCAAATAGGGATAGTGCAAGAAGTCAACTCAGAGGAGGGGAAGCCGGGAGGTCAGATTGCGAAAAGAGACAGACAACAAGTAAAAGACATACCAATTAGTGATAGATCACGGTAGCAGGTAAACGACGATGTCACAGTCATGTTGTGATTCGCGCCTAGTTACAAGTTTGTCATAAAAGACTGGGGAATCCACTGGAGGAAATGCGGCACCGGGATTGGGCGACATTACGGTCACGTATGTTGATCCTTAATTCAACGACACGGGTCAGCGTCCGTTTCTTAGAAAGAGGAACGAAGCCTCGTAAAATCCTCTTTTCATTGTACCTTATGTGGGACAATGGTTGATGATAACAAATTGCATTGCATCGATTTCCGATGTTTTGAATATATGGATCCATTGATTTGTTCAATCTCAATGGACTGACGCATATGTGTATCCACCAGTTTCTTCAATAGGCTTGTCACCGTTGTTGTATTCCAATAAAAAAGTCATACGTGATCCAATTTCGAGCTTTGCTTCAGCAGAATGGCAAAAGCGTGCATGAATTTGAAAAATAAGGTTGGTGGTGATGCGTGACAACAACCGACTTCAAGACAGAAAGGCGAGGTAATCTTTATCGAAGCCGTTTTGACTATGCAAGCAGTAAACGCAAAGGACAGAATTGTTTCTTTCGTGAAATAATCATGCAGATTTAGATTCATATTATAGAATAATGATAAATGGGATTGCTATGTAAAGCTCTTTACCTGAATGATTAAGAATTCAATAAGATGAAATAAATTGGTACCAGGTACCGGGTTGTTGGTATTGTGGTACATAGCTCCTGAATTTAGGGCGGGGTGCCACCGCATTCTGTCACACATGCTAATTGTTATACAATGAGTAGAAACAATGATCTCGAGAAACGAGACACTGTAGACATTTGATCTTGTAATACACATCATCTTGTCAGCAGTCATTCCCAAATTGGTTCTTTGAGATTCTTATTGGCTGATGTACTCATCAAGATACAGCTGAGAGATTAATTTGAGCCAGGAGGCTTCGGTGCAGTACCTTGGAAACAACTACAAGCCTGCCGATCTTGGCTCAGTGCTCCGGAATTTGCTTCCCATGAAATCGCACTCCCACGATTCAGCTACGAGACACATTCCCGCATCAGACTTGATCGCAACTCAAATGTAATAACTTGCAACGTCACGAGGCGATCTCTAACTTGCATTTCAATAAGTAGACGAGACCCTTATGCACATGACAAGTTGTTGAGACTGTGCCTTGGGAAGACCCTCCTGAAAACAAAACCAAGATTGATATTGAGAATGTCGTTTCGCTGAATGTAATAGGTATGAGAATATGTATCTCAAGACGCTGGTATACAATATGGAATTGGCATTAAAGCCTGTGCTACTCCCACCGTTTGAACGATAATTAACGCGGCAAGGGCAATATCTAGCGATGCTATGCTATAAATCGTTCATATTTGAAGTTATCTTGTGATATGTCTTGCCTGGTGATGCCGGGCTTGTACTGGTGTTTCGTTCTGCCCCCCGATCAACTCGTAGACGGGAAATCGGACGTCCGAACGTGGGAAAACTTCAGATCCAGTCTGGTAACTCGTCAGGTGCTCCTCATGACGACTCTTACTTTATCGAGTAACTGACTTGTCTCATAAGTCTGACCACGGTATAGAAAATGAAGAGTAATGTATACGGTACTTTGAAATGTCATCCTTATATTACAGTCTCAAAAGACAATCAGATAGTCAACACCTGTCACAAGACTAGACAAGATGAGGATTATCATTCACATCTGGCTGGAAGAGTCCCCTGGGAAGTTAAATAGGTATTGCCTAAACTTGACTTTAACTAATAACTTATCTTTCTTGTCGAATTCAACCCTTATATTCAAACATCAGGACTTTGGGGTCGGAACGGTGTTCGAAACTGTTTGGTGTGGTGAACCATGGCCGGCTGGTGCTCCATTATTTTGTCTCTATGCAAAAAAAAAAAAAAAACACGTGTGGTGACATGTATTTGCTTCATTCCTCATGACAACTTTATGGTCACGTTTCAGGACACCAGTCATTACGTTCAATTGTTTGTAGATTGTTTATTCGAACCGGGTTTGTCAAAGATCTAAATGATCTAAGCTATCGGTGTCAAGCAAGTACTTGTCGGCTATACTGTGGTACCATATATTATCAGCAGTTGGGATTGTCAGTGCCATTTCTCGGTCGAGACTTGTTGTTCAAGCCGTGACACACATTTAACGAACATCAAAGCCGATTGGGATTAACAGTTGGTTGTTTCTGCGAGTAAGTTCGAGAGTGCGCAATGCATCGATATCAGTGACCACGTTAGTCAGTATAGGAAATTCAACAAGTTCGACCACGACGAAAGACAAATGGAGATATAGACCATGTAATTAACATCTTTGTGCTGTTGCCATGGATTTTTAACTTTCTGTTGAGGGTACATGGCAAATGTCGCAAGCGTGCAAGATAAATGCGTGACATGTGCCGCCACGCTCCAGCAAGTTTCACGATACGTGGAGAGTACGTGAAAAATGCAACTGGCTCACCTGCTATAATATCCCGACCGTCGAATTTCTGACGTTAGTCAGGACGAATTACGACCATTGGCCAACTCCTCTCTTGTGTGTCCGATGCTTCCAATACCAAAATTCTACTCGTCTATAGCAGTGGCCCCTGACATAGAAGCTATCTTTTGAAAAAAAAAAAAAAAAGTGAGTTCACTCTCACCGCCTGGTTTGAAGGACGTATAGCTCATTGGGTTCATTCATGCCTCAATTTGACTATGTATTGATATAATACAATGCGAACAATTTTTCAACAATATTTGTGGTGTGTGAAGGAAAGACGGATAAGAAGTGAAGTAATTAATAATATATGATAATTACATCATTGGTTCCTTTCTCATTGTAACTTGAGGTCCTCAATGTGGCATTAACGCTGCAGTTGTGCTGTTTGTACACAAAGACTACATGCATAGGGTGTGAGCCTTGCGTGAAAGCTACTTCTGGGGTACGTGGCGGCTGCCATCCATGTACGCTAAGATCGCGGGGGCCTGAATCGGTAGAAACTATTTTGTCCAGCTATAGAGATGTTTTTTCATAGAATATTTTTCATTTTGAAAAGGACAGGCCCACTGCCCTTCAATAAATCTCAAGTTCTGGCGGGACCTCTATCAATTTTGGGAAAAGCGTTTTAGTGGGTTCTCTGTCACAATTCAAACGCGGTGCTGATTAAAGATGACTGGCTGCTGGACATAACGTCGTTTTTGGGAAACTGACAACGTGCAGGAACCGGTTTTTCAAGCTTCATCGAAGCGAAGGGCTTACTAACAGTATACTTATTCAAACTCGGAACAACGCGCGTGCACGCCATCTAATCTAATCTAAGTAACTGAACCTGACATACCGCATACTTGCCGATGACCTAGTAGTATATTAGATGTTAACGGGGAACAGCCAAAGTCAATTATACTTTATACCTGATTACCAGTAAAGGTCACACTTTAACTATCACATCTCCGTAGACATCATGTGCGGGCTACATCTTCATCCCAATAACGTCTCTATTGCACTGAGCAAAGTACGCAGCGGGTCAAGTGAAGTATGGAAGTAGTCTATGGATCGTAAAAGAAACAGCTGGTTGCAAAAGGTATTTGTCATGGCCATTCACGCATAATAATTCGTGTATACAGGACGCCACCGCCGGGAAGACCTCAGTTGTGACAAGATTTGTCTCAACTTTAATACTAAGATGAACCCGTGTAAATCTACTTCAGTGATGCAATCAGCCCTCAAACTATTCTTGTGTGCTTCCGGTATTCTCTGCTCCGTGGAGATAGGTAGATGAATCCCACGCCTTGTCCACCATGTTCAACAAGCCAGCGTTCCTTGTACTTCATCAACGGACGAAGGTTTACTTCTTCTTCGTCTTCGTTCGGAAGATATGCTTTCGAATCAGACGGCGATTGTGTGCATCAGTATAATCCACGGTGCAGTGTACTCTCTTCTCGGATGGGCTGGTATGCCAGGCATTACTGAAGAAGAGGTTTTAGTTAGCTGTAGGCGGAAATGGAATTTTAGTTGAACGTACATAACCACTGCTCCTACAGCGCCGGGAATGGCTTTTCCAAGAACCTTGTTTATGATGCGCTGTCTCTCTGTCGGTTTCTTCTTGTACGTGTTGTCAAGGCGAAATACAACGTCTTTCGCGGCCATTCGCCGAATTGTATTGGGGCTCTTTGAATGACCGTGGCCAGGTAGCTGGATGGATGAGACATCTTCCACATTGTTGATGGCATGGTTGCGTCCCAGGGCTGACTTTGTCCACCAGCTTATGATCCGTTTTCCAGTACGGAGTAGCATGTTGGCAGGCTAGGACTGGTCAGTTCGGCGTGATGGTTTCGTGTTTCCGGTGGTGGGTGGTAGTTGTCAAGATGAACCCAGCATGAGAGATGACAGGTTTAAGAGTTATTCTGGATATGAGAAAATGATCAATGTTAGACTAAGCAGCATGTTGCGTCACTGGGGTTTGTAACGTCCCGGTAAAGTCCAATTAAAAGTTCAAAGATGTTTGTTTGGAGCCTGGAGTATATTGTTTGTGATTTCGTACTAGTACGTAGCCGATGAATGTCTATGTGTGATTCTAGGGACTTCATTGAAGTAACCGACGGTGTTGATTCTTTGTGCGACGGGAAGTAAATACGTGAGTACAAGTAGCTCGAAGTTATCCAATAACCTACAATTTACATAGCATACCGTCGGGAAGTTGGATTGTTGGCTGTGATGTTATGTTCTGGGAAAGCCGCTTGTAACACTTGATTTGTTGTTCATGGAGCCTAGCCAACCTCAAAGCGATTTGACCTGTCACACAATGCATGGTGGTTGGATGTTGCATGTTGCTCGCCTTGTACCACCCACGTCTTTCATTGAGGCGGAGATGAGTCACCACTTGAGAGGTCTCTTCAAGCCTTTCACAGAATCCGTTAGATAATTTTTCAAAAGTCCTTGTGACTCTACAATAATAATATCACCCACCACATCATTGACTTTGCATGAAACTCGATCAATCCATTTTGTCAGCACAGGCACTCATCATTTACCAACCGCCTCATCAAGTCAAGACTCGACCCTCACCAATATCAGCCAGCCAGTTAAGAACTCTCAGCAATCGCCAAGATGAAATGGTTGCTTCTGAGTGACATTCACTTCAACATCCGCGACTTGGATCGTGTGCGACGAACGGCACAATGGATCGTCGCGGAGGCAGAAAGAAACCATGTTCGCCGGGTGGTAATCTGCGGCGACCTTTTGACCAGCCGAACGATGCAGCCGACACACGTTTTGTCCGCATGTTATCGCTTCATCAGCCATTTAACCGATATCGTCCCACGAATTAATATTCTGCTAGGGAATCACGACCTCGCATACCGGCGTGACTACCAGACGACAGCTCTCGAAGCACTCAATATCAGAAGACTAGCCCCACATGTTTCTCTACATAGCGTCGTCGATTACCAGGAGTGGGACGACCGACAAGTCTTGCTTCTACCATTTCGCGAAGAGCAAAGTGAGCTTACAGATGCTGTGGCCGCCATCAGTCCTGATCAAGCGAGCAAGACAGTTGCGTTTGCTCACCTCGCAATCAATAAGGCCATTCTCCATCGGTTCACCACACACAAATAAGTCTATGACGTACCGCGGTTTGACAGGCCCAGATTACTTTGCGTCTCTAGCCAGAACCTTCAACGGACATTTTCACAGTCATCAAACTATCCCACAAAGGAATGAAGCCGATTTAAAAGGAAGCATCACATACCTGGGCTCACCTCTACAGTTGAATTGGGGCGATCTCAATGACGAGCAACGAGGCGTCGTTTTGTTCGATCCACGTACACTTAAGCACGAACTATATAGAACTGATATCGACCAGGGATGAACAGGGCCAGTGTCTTGATCAAACTCGCTGCGGTTAAATCACGATTGAACTTTATTGTCCGATTACCACTTTGGGGATCATCGTTAGTCATCACGGAAAATATTCAAGTAGGCAGACCGGGGGCTCATTCTATCCCTCAGATCATCTTGTGATTGCCAAATACGACTATGTCGTTGGTGAAGTCATGACCGTTCAATGATTGAAGAAACCATCTTGGAAGGGCAAGGCGTCACGCTTCAGGCGAGTGCCTTTGTCCCAGTGGTTCTTACAATCTATTATAAGCCAGAAAAGTGCCAGTTCTGCCCAGAACACAAGAAACCTTGGGTCTATTGCCACAATTGTAATGAGGGTGTCTCCAATGGTGTTCTTCTTCTTTATAAACCATGTTTATCTGATTTGTTAAACATGGTCTTGTTCTAATTGCCCGGTCGCAGCAAGCCATCTTGGTCTGATAATGACATAGATCGTTTAAGTTAGTTTATTTTGTGTTTACAAATGCTGTTAGTAATACATGTACCTTATAGCCAATCCGACTTTACAATGAATATTAAATCTCTTGATAGAGAATCGCACTCGACGTGCTATTCGCCAAGTTGAAAATAAAAAATAGGCGCCGACATTTTAATAGTCGAGAAAGAGCATTTCCTCGACCCACCCAGGATCCGAACATTCCTTCGAAAGACTTACGATTGTAGGACGCTGTGTGGCGGTATCTACCAAATGGGGACGATCCACGACCGCCTTAGGCTTGAACAGAAGACTTGGATGACAAATAAGAAGAAGGTTGGTAGGCTTCCAAATGCAGAGCAGCCACAGGTAACTCACTCTATGGAAATCATTTGATGTTTTTGCCATTGATCTTCCATTTGAATTTACAATATCATTCCAATCATGTGTCATCGGTCTAACAAGAAACTTCCAGAGGTAGATTTCTCGCTATGCTGAGAAGACAGAAAGCGCATGTTTAAATATGATACATATTGTTACTGGTCTGTTTACAGTTTCCACATGGAGCTTCGTTATGTATTCTGGCCGCTGCGTCTTGCTTGGCGATCATGAAAGGAAGGAATATTTCACCGTGAAGTCTTAACATAATTGTAAATTGATCGGCTACTATCGAATAATTTTCAAATGAAGGAGATAATGCATTATGAGATTGTGGCGACGATTATTTCTGTGACCCGTGCTTGCAGTTTCTATGCAGACACAAATTTATCCACGAGGTGCCTATTGCCGAACAGGTGTACTTTTCTCGTCATGGATCGAATCTGATTCCCCACAGGAGCGGCTACTTAGTGTTTCAGAAAAAAGCAGCGGATGTAAATTACAATATTCTTATAGTGTGTTGTGTGGTATGCATAAGCATGTAGAAAGGTTTTAGGAATCATGTTCAGAGGAGGAATATAGCCTAGTGATTCAAACTACATTTCATTAGACTTGTTTTTAAGTTGCATTGTACTTGCAGCCATCTTGTTTCAAGGTTGCATAATGGTTGTAGTGGGGCGAATATCCATACTATACGGGTAGGAGTCCTGTATTAGATCCGTTGTTTAAGCTTTTTTAGCTGCTGGTCACGTGCACGTCTCTATAACCTGTAATATCTGGTCTTAATTTCTTTTAAATGTGTTCAGCAGTGATGACAATAGTCTAATTACTAATAACGTTTCGCTATAGTTAGGATTGCAGTTTAAACATGATTGGATCGTTGAGGTGCGTGTGTTCAGATAGCTCAGGTATGATTATTGTATGTTTCTGCTGTCGCCTTGATGAAAACACATGTCTTACGGAGGGTGCAACAGACATATAGCAACCTACGAGTATGTCGTATCCACTGATTTAGTATCTTGATATGAGGTCACATACCATAAAAGATCTTATAATTGTTATTCCTAGCGTTATGTTAAGTGATGATTTGAAGCGCCAATGAGATCACCATTCTTCCAATGCATCATCAGTGTGTTGTGCCCTGTATTGACATCCCAGAACGCCCTTAGAATTTCTAGTTTCGGAAACTGGTAGTCATATGCCCGCGTCAATAATGTTGTTGCCGACCGTAAGTTGATTCACGAGACAGTAAGCGCCGCGATGTAGACCATGGAATTGTGAAATGGAGAGCCATGCAAGACTCTCCCGTGACATATCTTTGAGGACTAGCGCGAATTGAAACTCTTGCCAGCGACCAGAAGGTAACAACTCACCTCAGTAAAAGAAGTTACATGTCACAGATAGTTCTGCGTAGGTTTGGAGACATTGAACCGAAACTGTCATCGGCTAAAATGCAATTCCCAAACTTAGCAGACCCGAGTGTTACTATATCGCAATTACTTGTCCCCGTCCACTCACTTGGAATATAACGTTTTCATCCGTGCTGCGAACCATTGTCAATAGAGTAATGTATATGATGACATCGATCAGGGTAAGGTTAAGTATCTCTTTTACAGGAGACATATAACAGGGCCACTCAAATACGTATGAATATCCCCATACCATCATCTTCCACAACATCACTTGTAGAGTCAGCACTTAGAACCTCTCCATACCGACCCCTCCGAAATGTCATCACCACCGTGTCGAAAGCCTTTTCAAACCAATCCAATCCATCCAACGTTGCTCCTCCTTAATTGACAATCATGATGCCCAATGGAATGTCCCAGGTAGGCTTCAATTCCTTCTTGTTGCCGACCTGGGACACGTCATCTTGACTGAATCCTACGATTACGTTGTGCAATCTCCAGACAAGGTCATATTGGACAGCTAGCAAGATAAACATCAGACTTGTCCGTCGAGGCTAGGTTGGACTTACTATTAAAATAGCTGCTAGATAATCTTGACTGTGCCCTCTTCTGTGTTTCTAAAGAAGCCCGCCATCTCTGTCTCTCCCCAATGCGAGTCTACTAATGCAACTCTAATGTAGCATTCAGATTCGGTCTGCGAAGGCAACAAACATAGAGCTTTGAAATATCCCTTGTCAAAATCTGCGCATAACAGAAAAAACAATACTTCTGAACGGTCAACCTCTTCCAATGGACGATCCCAAAAAACGGAATCCCAGATTGTGCAAATCTCTAGATACGACTCATCCGAAGCCGGCCAGGAACAATCCGGTCCGTCGGGATTATCTTTCCTCATCGGCCCCCGAAGAATCAGATATCCGTCTTTGACAGCACCTGTTGGATCACTTCCAGCTGGGATGCACTGCGCCTCCAAGATGTGGGCTTTCTGTTCGGCCACTTTCTTGTGGTAATCTTCATCTTGACAGTACCAGTAACCTGCCTCTATAAGCCCATCATACCTCTTCATGTACCCTGCAGAGAAAGGGGACCAAGAGGGCGCCATGTACTCGGGCCACCTCCGCACCGGCTTGTCTAACCTGGTGTACCAGACGAGGGACACCATTAAGTCATTCTCCCATATGCCTGCGAGGTACTTTCCAGTCCCATGTGATTGGCAAAGCTTTGCGAGACCGGATAGCGCTGGTAGTCTATCGGTGTCTTTTGTGAGAATCAACCTTCCGTAAAGGTCGATCAGCTTTCGCCATTGGATGTAGAGGTCGTTGGGTGTTTGAGCTTCCAAACAGTCCTTCCCGTGAAGGGTTGCATTTCTGGCGTTCCTTACTATATTGAACCCGGACCAGTGGGTTGCTTCTGCTTCATCTGCTTCAATCTCCATACACTCGCATTTGAGACATTGGACACACTCCCATATCATCTCACTTTCAGTGAAATGGATTATTCTTCGCGCAAGAATGTTCTCTTGGAGAACCCACCCTCTCTGATTCAAAGGCGACGTGGTGATCTTCCATCGGTGTGCAGATTTCCCCATCGTTGGATCGACACTGATCGGTCTGCTGTATATCTCGGACACTGATGAATCTTGATTCTTTATTAAAGCGACCTTGACTGAATTTGTCGGATCGAGCTGTTGTGTAGTTTGAAACTCGACGTCCTTCCGCTGTAGAAAGCCGTCGGAGGATTCGCCGGCTTGTGATGCTGCCAGTACGAGATACGCATCATTGTAGATAGATGCCATCTTGGACGATTCAATTTCCCAGTCCGCTTTATCATCCTGGACGATACAAAGAGAGTCGATCCAAAGGTACTGTAACCCGATGCTGCGCGTAATGGTTATAGCGTGTTGGAAATTCTTTGGTAAACTCTGAAAGCTGATCGCATTTCGATGTTCTGCAAAATTGGCTGTGGTCGTTTGCAGGACAGGGCTGTTGCCCCAACAATGGCTTAGTGCCACATATGGAGCGACTTGATGTTGTGAGATGTAAAGGTATATGTGGTTGTTAGCTGCGTCTCCGACAAATAGAACGCGGTACGGCAACTCGGCATCCTGTACCATACATTCCGGGTGCGATGACATGCAGCTCCCGACCCACTCATCAATACGCTGTATGTACTCTTCTTGACGACTTCTTGGGGATATTCTTCCAGGCTTCACAAAGTTCCACTCTGGCCGTTGTGTCCCAATAGGATAGTAAAGCTGGTACGTGACGTCTTTATGGCCAAATCCCGACTGCTTATCAGTTCCAATGACCCACAGCAATCCATTGTCTTGTTTCTTTACAAATACATTCAGGTCATAGCCAGGTTCGTAACGGGAGCAGGCGTGACATACAAGGACACATTGAAGGCATCCGTCGTCCGCTTCCCTACGTATGTCGTCCATTGGTCGAGCTTTTTTCATTCGAGGAGTGTTTAGCCAGCAGCTCTGGCTAACTGAATTGGTAGACCAGGCTATCAACGGAACCTCCATTGCATAATCAGATATCAATGTGATTGGCAATAGATTAGAGTACAATTTTGAGACATTCCGCCAGGGAAACTGAGATGCGGGGTTAGTGCGTTTCAAACACAGTTTCTATTAGTCTAGCTAGACTCATGAGATCTCCACATTAATTTGTCTCAGTCTTCCCTCACCACGGCGGGAAATATCAACCCTACAATACTGTACATTTCCACCAAAGCTGCACGCCGAAAAGTAATCATACCTTGATGACAAACCCATCAAGGGAGTCTCCACCAAATTCAACAAAGGTAGGGCGAGCCTAATGCAAGCTTCCTTTGAAGAGTTTGCAGTGAGCCATGGGTATTGATCATTTTGATGAACTCAATCTAGATCTCAACTGACACGATACCATGCCTAAGTGCCTCTTTGAAAGCACACCTCGGTAGATGCTTATGGTGGTAGGGCAAGAGAACTCCGATCTTGAAGTGGATAGGAAAGATCTATTACCAACGCCATTACCCTACATCATAAAACATAAGATTTATCTGGCTGATATAGATGCAATAACAAGACCACGCATGAGACATTCAACTGCTCACTTTTATTTTAGATTTTGTCAAAGCTGGGTGTGCTTTGGTCAGTTTTAAATTACTCCGGGTTCAGTATCTGATCAACACCTAACGGTGACTGCGCGGAAATAAGTAACATCAATTCGACTTGACATACTCCATCCCTCCCAAGACTGTATTCCCGCATGAGTTCCGAGGAAAACAAGAGACCTCTACATTAGCCCGTGGCCACAACACTTTCAATCAAACTGATTATGTCTAGAACCGGTTTCAAACTCATCTCTACCTTGAGGAATTTGGCACACGCTGTGTTCACCGCTGACGAAATGATGAACCATGCTACTCCAAGAACGGCAGTTAGCCGCATGTTTTGACTGAACAAAGCTGATCCGGAATGGTGTAAAGCAAGCTGAAGACGGGTGAAATCATGGGGCCACACAGCACAATCGTATGAGACACAACTTCACTACTGATCAATTCAAATTAACACTTATGCCACAATGCCATTCATTTGTCAAGCAAGCTACCAGAATCTATGCAATTTTGAATCATGCAAAAGAAACAGTCAGATTTCAAAACAAACTCTTTTACAGACCGTTGACAGTGGTGCGTGGTAGTAAATCTTGCTAAATTCCCCTCTTGCAAATAGTTTGCCGAATGGCCAATATATCTTTTCTGAGTTATACGACGATGTATAGGTGAGCGAGACGTCTAGATACCAGATGCGGTATCATGGTTTGACTCGATGGAAGTGGCTATGACTGGCCATTTGACCACTCACCTAACTTATAAACATATCACTAATGCAGTATTGTGGAAGCACTATGTTTGCCCCAGTAGAGATGCTGTCACTGACCAGATGCCACTTTCAAACACGTGATACCAATTGATCTGCGACGCATGTCAATACTCGCGGGTTATGGGATCCATTGCTGCCAATTGTTGTTGCTGAACATGTCATTATGGAGTGTAGAAACCCACAGAATAGCTTTAACCTGTCGCAAACAGCGGAAATTTTGTCCTTACTTCCAATGTTATTCAGACTCAACACAAAACATGCCGAGGTGTAACAAAACACATTTGATCCCGCCTGAGCTTCAGCCCTGTTAATCGATCCCAGAGCTTTAATAGCTTATGCCTGTGCGCGTACGTATCTTGACAGAAAAATCATACATTTTAATTCTATAACCAGTGTGCTAAAGGTCATTTGTCATGATGAACCATTTTTACTATTATCGCACTGCTGTTCCCAACGTGGAGCCTCTTTTGTTATAACACCAACGCTTTCTCTTTCTACTTTACAATCACGGCATATATGATACCATCTCATTTTTCCCAGTTCCACCGGTCGTACCTGGCGCATCGCCGTCGATGAAGAGCTTTTTAAAGACGATATCGCTCTCATAGGTCTGCCTCCCGTCATGCACAGATTGGGACGGCGATGGCGCGGTCTCAAGAAGGAATGTGGGTAAGGTAAATTACTCCTTCGTCTCTCCAATCTTGCTTCAGGATGTAGAGTATCAAGGACAGCTGCTTTTCCACCCGCCGTTCTGGCTAGTTAGTATACAAATTCCACTGAAACAGCAAGGGCTAAGACATTCTCATAAGCTTAAATCCATCACTGTCAAAATTGATGGAAAGTTATTGTAAAAGGAAAAGGTCTCTTTTTCCGCACAACGTTTAATTAAGCTGATAACTTACTGGTAGTTTGGATGTATGCTCGAGACTCCGTCGACAAAGCGCCACTCACACTACTCAATTTAGTGAGTTCGCACTGTCATCAATGGCTAGAGTTCCTGTGTCTCTTTATCCTGGCATCCACCGAGACTCACTGACAATGGAAGGTCAATAGAGATCCACACCTCTTTGTCGCTTCCGAAACGAAAGTCTGAGTGGCATGTCTTCTCATCTCGGGTATTTAATGAGATAGTTGCATATCGATCACCCGCTCATAGTGACGCTTTTCGTATTGATGAACAATCATAGAAAGCTCTGTCAATGACAATGTTAAGCGCCGTATCAATATGTAACGCTGGTGGCTGATATATAACGATGGGGTACCTCCATGATCATTCGAATTGAAGTGCCCGCACATCGAGTGTAATGTCGGCATGTGGATCTCGGTAATGTCCTTGGATGACCGATCTCCACTAAAGAAAGCGGATGCACTCCCCATGCACCCTCCATGCAGGCATGTTGCAGCTTGAAAAGCTTGAAAAGCGGGTCGCTCAACTTGCCACATTGAACGCCAGAGTGAAGTCCCAGCAACACCTTATCCTGTACAGTGGCTCTCTTGTGGCTTGGTTCTGTACTTAGCATCATGTATCTTGGGTAGCACCGAACTATCACAGAAAAAGGACGCATTAACCTATGAATTTGGGAGACTAGAGATGGATTTTCGTGGAACACAGTGCGTTCTCGCTAGTGAAACCTTTCCTGTGGTCCTACTCATGAGTGATCGGTCTGCAAATACGTCGACATGATTATTCATGGCCATATCCACGTTGAAGGCGCCCTTGCTGGAATAAAACAGTCCAACGTTTCTTACCTCAGACGAAGAGCTGCAAGGCTCGCGATATCGTCTTTACTATGTTGGATTATTAGAGAGCACTTTGAACACCGCCAGCAGCAACTATATGGTAGGGTTCTCCACTTCATCAATGCGGGGTAAGCATGACTTCAGAGATTGTGTTGAATGGACGCAATTTAGTCTAAGTTTAGGTTTTTTTTATGAGCTCTCATTAGTGTCCTCATATATATCTTTGTCTCTGGCTAGGAATAATATTACAGTACATCCTATGCCGGTAGCTCATGCACAGTCTTTGGCCGAATAGCCTTTGAGTCTGACTCTACCAATACACTTCCCGGGCCAGCATCAGCCTCTGCAAGGGACGGATCGATTACTGTGCTGCTTTTATCCGTGCTGTGATCATACTTGCCACCCAAAGCTTGGTTTCCCAATCTCTTTTTCCCTCGCCGATGCATTACAACGACGAAACATAGGCCTACCAGGCCAATAAGACCAATAACACCCCCAGCAACACCACCCGCTATAGCCCCAACAGGAACCTTGCGAGACGACGGATCACTGATACGCGGGATCTTTGATATTGAGAATCGTTCATCGGCACTCATGCAACAGTTACTCGCCGCCCGAGAGGCACTCTGGCAGCAGTAGTCTCTAGTACTCTCGCACAGTTTGATTGTGATGGAAGCATTTCCATTCTCTGACGATATGATTAGGGGAAGCTTACGTAACGACTCTCTCAAAACGGGCACTCACTGGACAAACAAATATCTGGGCAATTGTACCAATTCTCATCCGTGCAGCCACCTCGGTACAGACGGGAAGGCCCAGTTCCAGTGCTATCCGAACACACGCCTTGGCTGAAACATCGATCAGCAGTATTGCAACATATCGAGTAAGTCGTGTCATTAGAGCTACATGGCCTGTAGCCAAGGCTGGCCCGAACACTCTTTCCTTTATTGTCAGGGAAATAACAAGCTTGAGCGAGAATCCATCTGCAAAATATGAGCAGGATGTATGTACTGTTCGGCTTCATTATGAGAAGGATCCTGCTGTGGAATGGGCTTGTAACGCTAGAATATGGAGGAACGAGATAAGGTAACTCTGATAGTGACAAGGGAGGCGTTTCGAAAGACGGAAATAATAAGAGGAGGATGTAAAGATCAAGTGGTGTTTCCAGAGATACGAAGGACTGAAAGTGTTATGTTTACACATTAATGATTTGAATGACGTCAAAACCAGAAAGGAAATCAAGACACAGTCTGGAAGGGAAACAAAAGTGCATACTCCAGCCACTTTGTGGACAGTTATTTTGTTGGTCCATCAGACTTTGATCGTAAAGCCAGCGAATGGAATAACGCCATAAATGGGAATAACAGGGCAGAAGCGCCCTCCTCTGTCTCGGCGGCCCATAATGCCGAAACAGGAAGTTTTTGGCCCCCAATTCCAGTTGTGCCAAGAACAGTGAATACGAAATCCATGGCGGGGTGAGCGACTACACTGCATTGTGGTTTTTTATTGACTGTCTTACTATGCGAGGAATAATGACGCCATACATCTGTATATAATTGAACAAATTAGGTTATGCCGTATAAATAACTTTTATATATTGTCTAGACTAGATGATAAATACAAGAGGGGCTATTGTTATTCTGTTGAACCTCTTAGAAAGTTAGTGGTTACTAAGTTACCTTCCTATTCAGCTCTAGTATAGGCTGTTACTTCGTCGCTATATGCTTCTATAATGACAAACAGTGGAATCCTTCTCGCGGCTACATTAAGACTCCTACCGTGTAGACGGGGTGGGTTGCTTAGTCTCTAGACTAGGGATACAGTATAGGTCCATTCCTAGTTAGCCTTTGAGAAAGACTTAAAAGCAATAACCTAAATTCGAGATCAGTACAACAGGGTAGTGGTGATCGATGTTGTTTTCAACGTATCAGACAAGGGGCTTTTGATAATGTACCACTCGATGGGCAAGCTCCTGGTTCAACATTCCAGCATATTACATCAGAGGCTACAGACCAGTACCCGCCGTTTTATTGTCTATAGACCCTGCGCAAGATGTCTACTTGTTCGAACATCTGTAACTCAGATGGAGGAAGATACTGTCATGCTATCATGTGATCCATCACATGCCTTTACGCGTGATACCCTTCACGTTCAACACAGTCAATCGCTCCCGAACACGAACGCTTCTCTCAAGACTTGCAAGGACTAAGACCACGCTTTTGACATTTCATTCAAAGTAAGCCGTAAATGCAAGAGCAGTACAATAACTGTTATGTAAATTGAAGACAGTCTAGCTGTCACGAAGTATATACACGAATTATCCTCTTTACCACTTAGGCTTCTGGAAAGCCTTCGCAGTCAACTTAACAACAAAAGCACCACGCTCAATAGTGTTGATGAAGATGTAACCCGACTTAAAGAATGCATAAGAAGACCAAGTTCCAACAAAAGCAACACTGCCACCACCTTGCAGAGCGTCATCCTCAGGATAAATGTCAAACCAAGCAGCCTCGTAGACACCAGCTCCAGTGGGGTCTGAAGGAATTGATCGACCGTCAAGAACACGAAGACCGGCACCGTAGTGAGATTGGTAGATGTAGCTGTCCTTGACGTATTGGTTGTGGTCGATGGACTTGGTGGGGTGCTTGAAAAGACCGGTCTGCTTGGGTTTCTCGAGATCGCGGATGTCCCAAATGAAAGTCACGGGGTAACCATCAGCTCCAGGGCCAGCACCATTTTGCTCGTCAAGTTCGTCATCCAAGACGAGGAACTCTTGGTTTTGTGTGTCGAGAACCCAACCCTGGTGGGTGTAAGAGGCACCCTCGTAGGAGATACGAGAGATGATGTTGGTGACATTAGCCTTGTCAGTGACATCGTAAATGGTGAGAGTGTCCTCGTTGTAACCGTAGCAGATATCCCGTCCCTGGTAACGCTTGTCGGGTCCACGGTAGACAATGCACTGCGCATCGTGGACATATCCATCACCCTTGGCGCATCCAAGAGACTTAGGGTTGGAAGGATCAGTAAGATCGAAGAAGTTAAGACCAGAAGCGCAGTTCTTGTCATCTCGGGGCTGAGCTCCAACGGCGACAGCGTACTTGAGCTCCTCGTTAACAACAACATTGTGAGCGCGACCGACGGGGAGAAGGGCGTTGAAGTGACTGGTGAGGTCCTTCTTGGCATCAAAGACAACAGGCTTCTTGGGGTTGATCTTCAAGAGCTTGGTGAGGTCGAAAATCTGAATACCGTGACCGACAGCTTCAGATCCGATGATGACGTAGTTCTTGTAGGTGCGGATCTCCCGCCATTGGGATGGTACGGAGTACTGAGGGAGACGACCGAGGTAGACGAGCTGACCCTTCTTGGTGATCTCGGCGAAAGCGGTTCCGTCGTATTGACCGATGGCGACGAATTCACGCCCGTCATCAGAGGTCCATCCCCAGGAGGAGGAGCCTCGACCTCCAGTGCTGCCGAGATCGGCGTGACTAAGGAAAGAGTAGAGGTCGGCCTAGGAAGTGTTAGCAATTAAGACAAAATGAGAAGCTGGAGCTGACTGACGTTGTGGCAGGCAAAGGTGTTTGCGGCATCACCCTTGATAGCTTCAGCAAAACCACGGACACACTTGGTGTAGCCCAGCTTGGGGTACTGCTCGCTAGCGAAAGCACCAGCGGCCTCCTGCTTCTCCCACACAGCCTAGAGAATGTTAGCCGATAAGTTACACATAAACTGTGTTGGTGGACATGCCTGCTTGCTGGCCATGAGCTTGTTGTGCACAATTCCAGTGTCATAGAGTCTCTGGGCCTTGTCCTCGTTGACCTTGATCTCCTTGGCCTGGGCATAGGAGCCGAAGGCGGCGAGAGCGCCGAAAAGAACAGTAGACTTGACCATCTTGAAGGAAGACCAGGAGGCAGTAAATGAGAGAGATGGAGAGGATGGATTGGAGTATCAAGGTAGAAGCTCATGGGGGAGGGTTGTCCATTTTATCCATGACGAGCCGCAGGTTCAATCGCGGGAATCTTGGTCATCCCGACCTTGATGGATCTCCATCACTTCCGAGTAGTATTGTCCATGGTACCTTACTGTTTGGGCATCTAGCCGAAGGGCTCTAGGCACGTTCGCGCTTGGAGATCGACTCGAAGGACCAATAAGCTATTGAGTAGGGTTACAATCCGTTCATTGCCTATTCTTGGCGACGGTGACGGCATTTTCTTGTCTGCCGGATTGACCCCAGATTCGGAAGGTGAAATGGCAAGGGTTGAGGTTGTTATCAGAGCCTCTTCTCAATTGACAAATATAGAAACGACTAAGATAACGAGGACAAACAAACGATGCGACCCTAGACCGATAGCCGATGGCTCAAACGGGAATGTTGGTATTGGTTTGTGGAGTGGAAACTACGGACAAAAAAAAAAGTCCCGACAACTACAACCTTGGGGAACAATGTCTTACAAAAGTGCTATCAAAACAGTAACTCAATAAGGTCCAATTGGGCAAGACGGTATGTTCGACTTTGCAGAGTCACAATCAAGATGGAAGGGACCAAGCGACCGATACCAAACCGAAAGAGGTAGGTGAATTAAGTTAAGCTTATTGGCTACCCGCTCTCAATTACTGTGTTTAGACAATTGGCCGATAATCTTATCGGGAAGCTTAAAGACGCAATACGACACTGAGAGACTTGGCATTGCAAAAGGTCTTGTATTGATTGGATGGAAAATAATTACCAATGCCAATTCTGTCTTGTACTAAGGAACCTCTGTTTAAATATACATCATTTGACGCTTGTGCGTGCCCCAACTCCAAAAGCACGCGACTATCCCTGACGATCTGAATGATAATACCGTCTAGTAAATGTACCTGAATCCTGATTCTCTCAACTGTGAACCCGTAGTCTTGCCGCTCTCTTCCGCAGCAGCATTTGCTTCTGCCTCGGCTTTGTCGAGCTTCTTGTTCTCCCATTTGTGGACATAACGTAGCATGAGAGCCAGCAACGCGACAAGAACACAAATGACCGTGTTGGCGCTACCACCTGGAATGTACTGTGGACCATCGCTGCTGGGGTACATGTATGACCCGTAAATACTCGCTGTGTTACCAATCATGTTGCAGATGGCAATGGTGGCTGAGCGCTTAACCAGGGGGCGGGGAAAAGAATTTGCGACCCATGAGACAATGATTTGGTCTATAGGGTAACGTCAGTGATGCTGAATTGAATGGAGGTTATTGAACTTACATGAAGACACAGCGCCCATTGGCATGAGAAACATGGCAAAGAATCGTGCTCCGACTACTGTGGTGGCTGTCGCGATTGCATTACCAATTGCTGCGACGAGCATAAGGCAAATAATGTGCAGCGACCTGTCATTTGTTTTGGCCGAACTCAACGTCACACAAACCGACAGAAGGAATGTCGCAAACTGTTCACAGAAATTAGCCTTGTATTGAACAGAAAGGACAGTCAATGACTTACCCAAGCTGGAGCTGTAAGCCATAGCGTCACAATCTTTCCGTACCCAAGCGTCCCCACAATTGTCGGGAAGAAATACTGAAAGGTTTGAGAGATCAGACTGACGTGCTGGAGAAGCACAAAGAGGTACAAACGATAATCTCGGACAGCCATCTTGACACCATCCCAAACAGTATTTTCACCGTAAGCATCGACTTCATTGATGTCTTGAGCCAATCGCCATGCTGCGAAAGCGCGTTCCTCTTCGGTCAACCATTTTGTCGTGTGGGGATAATTGGGAAGGATGAACATGGCGATTAAAGAGAAGCCAATGGCCGCGACACCCTCCTGTCAATCATCGTGTTAGTAACAATTCCTCAATTACAAAGCGGCAGGACTTACGATGATGAACAGCCATCTCCAACCTGCTTTTCCATGCGCGCCATTCATATCGCCCAAAATAGCCGCTCCAAGAACACCGCCAAACATATTCGCAAGCGCATTTCCGGAATAAAGCCACGCGATTCTTCTCGTGAGCTCAGCACGCGTATACCAAGAACTCATCAGAAACACTGCACCCGGAAAGAACGGCGCTTCAACAAAACCGAGGAAGAATCGGATAACGACAAGATGTGTAAAGCTTTGCGCGGCAGCATTGCAGGTCGATACAACGCCCCAAAGACAGCACGAAGCGCTAAGGTACAGCGACGGCCGTAAACGTGTGAGAATCAGGTTCGAAGGTAATTGCATGAGTAGGTATCCGACGAAGAAGATGGATGTCGCAAGATTGAAGTCTGTACCTGACATTCCCAGGTCTTCTTCGAGAGAACCTTGTCGGGCTTGAGCGAGGTTGGAGCGGTCGAGGAAGTTGAGGAGGTACATTATCACGAGAGTGGGCATCAGACGGGTGTCGACTTTTCGGAGGAGTTTCTTCTCGAAGTCTTGTCGCCATTCTTCGGTTTGGGAAGGGAAGTCGAAGTTGTTGAGATTTTGTTCATGACCCGCTGGGGAGGGGTCACCTTCGTCCATTTGGACGGATGGTTTGGCGTTGTCCATATTGAAGTGCCAAGTGGACAATTGAGGTCGTGGGGGTAGATGCCGCAATTGCGTCGTTGTCGATGAAGGTGATGAGAAATGCCAAGTAGGACAAGAAAGTCAAGCATTCAGGTCCATCTCCCTCCCAAATCATATTTAAACAGAAAACAAGCCACTTCCACTCACGTCACGCAGCATGAATGAGGAGAAACGGCAAACACGGCAGTAGCCTCGGTATTGAAATGCGCCGAGTCTCCAACGAAACAGACCATTCAATTCGTCCACAGCTCGAAATGTAACATGAACAGGTCCGTCGGACCAAAGGCGAACAAGATCATCAAGTTGGGCATGCTGATCTTCCCCCGCAATGGGTATCGTTTACCCCGCGTTGCGATGGTCTCTGGGGTAATTGAGCATGGTCTATGACTCGAGAATGAGAATTGACTTTATCCGCCGGGAGGCGACTGGTTGAGAAAACATGCTTATTGGGAGGGTTGGGAGATGGATGCGACCTCCGAAAATTGGACAACGTTGTCATCGTTGTTTGCGTAGCTCTCCGAGAATTTCTAGTAGTGTTCTTGGTGATGAAGACAAGTCATGACTGAGGGACCCTGGCGGATATCCCCACAACGGATGTCTGATATCTGGGGTAACAATCCTTGGCGTTGTGAGCTTAACGACATATGTCCACTCAATTGCCCGAATACGGAAATCCTCTCAAGAGGGATGTAACATTGTGAAGTTCAACATGGTCCGATAAACAACAAAAAGGTTAGCCTCGAAGCGCTCGGCCACAAAAGAAGAAACCCCAATGCCTAATCTGAGGAACACGGAACGACTAGGCTGATTTGTCCACGACTATTGATGTACCTTATCGGGATCACTCTCTGCCCCCATATTGATAGCTGCGATATACATTCTCAGCAATGACACTGTCGATTGGATGGCTTGTGGAATCTTGATTCTCTTCTTTTTATTTAAATGACTTCACGTAAGAAAATTGGTAATCCATTCTTCTACCCGAGAAACATTTCATGAAATTACGAAAATCCTTGGTACTTTGTCGATGTTAATGGTAGCGCCGGTATTCCAGCATGGTACCCCGCATCGGACATCTCTCGGCTTGGATGACGACCCCGGATACAGAATTAGCGTCCGAATATGCACCCGCTTTTATGCGTACTCTGAAGTTTTTTGCGAAAAAAGCACTACGTAAAGAGCAGACACGAGAGTTATTATCAGCAGTTGTTCTCTCAGAATAGAGCATGGCGGAGGGGATTTCATGTGCCTTGATTTTATTTGTCTAGTAGGAAGCCGGGAGTTATTTCGTTGAACTGAGCCTTCTTGCACGTGATCGGAAACTAAACCAATCACGGCGCCGCATCTGCTGACAAGACTTCCTGTCTACTCATTATTCCACCGCGTAACAACTGCAGTCTTCCTAATAGTTCTTACTGCAATGACTGAACGGATACAGTAGACAACGAATAATATTTCTATTCAGTCAGCCATAATGATCATTGAGGTAAAGCGTGGAGAGCCAACTGAAAATTAGACTATGCCTAAGCAGATAAATTTCGAATTGTAAGCCTAAGGAACGAGAGCTTGATAGGTATTATCATCCCAACAAAACGGGAAAATAGCTCAACTACGGCACGACCAAGTAAATTAATATCACCTTCAGATAAGCCAATATAGTCGCTTCCATAATGTCAGGTCGGCAAACGCGATCCGAATCAGCTGCTCACTCGATAAATAAATTAATCATGTAGATCTTACCACATTGAACTGTCTCATAGAACAAATCCAGGTCAAAGACGTTTAGGCTCACTTCGCCTTAACATAAACGTCTCTCCCCGTATTCATGCGTGTCATCTACACCGCCATGAGAATGTCTCGTTGCTAGCCTAAAGCTTGCATGTTTGCAGTTATTTTACTCTAAACTAAATTTAGAAGCTAATACAACAGTAATATCCCTTACCGGGCAATAAAAGCTCGTATCCTATAGACAATAAATCAGGTAGAGGACATAGAGTTATTTTATCTCAGTATTATTTGCATAGGTTAAGAAGGGAGCCCAGGCAATAAATTAGAACGCTCGCCAAGTTGGAGCGCTTGTGCTTCAAAGAATTTTACCGTCAGGCCTCGTCAGGCCTATCTGAAAATCTTTGGATTCCTAAATAGGAGCAAATAAAATTAGCCATCGATATCTGTGGTTTGTTGTGCAAGCTCTCCTTGATCATAATGTCAGAGCAGATATATCATGGTGCTGAATTTACAACAGTCGCGGCTGCTGGCATGGGCAGTTATCACGGGCTTCCTGGTATTCCTTCGATATTATACTGTGAAACGCCAAACGTGGAGCTAAATAAAATCCACATCATCGGAACTACCAATAATCCAAACCATTTGATCGAACACTCGAGTGAACTGAAAGCGCTTGGGGACTTCCACGACTAGGCTAGTCATATGCCAGGATTCTATCAAGGAATGCACAGCCGGACAAATAATCCATAGCAAAGATTCTTTGAGTGCCTTCAAGGGCGTTAACAGACCTTTATAGTGCTGCAGAATCCCATCCGGTTAGCTTGAGTACCTTTTCTGTCGGACTAGATTGCAGATGAGATCTTTTAATTATGTTTCGCCGGCCTACTTTTAGTACATATAGTAAACTTCTGGCACACTCTCCCGACCACTTAGGCTCAATCTACATGCTGGTCATAGGGCGGATAGTAAAGACAAGGGGAATTAACAATAGACTTGATTAGGACGGCAAGGTTGTCGATCTTTACAACGATACACGTCTTCTATATTGTCGCCGCTTTGAACTACATCAGTTCATTCTTTGATGTATCCAATAAGGAATCCGTCGCGGGTCTTGTGGTTTATAGCCTACTCTGGTGTCTGATTCATTGTGCTTAAGCTAGATGAACCAGTAAGTTGAGTGAAAAGGAAGAGGTCTGGGAGCGAACTTGATAATGAAAGTGCCACGGATTTGTGCGCGATGGTTGTTGACGAGGGGAAAGCTGAAGATCAGAAAGTCATCATGCATGGTAAGCAAACCCCGCTCGAAAATTCGTATTTTCAACACGCCCACAGCCTAGTTTCTGTGTCGGCTGTGTCCTTGTCGCAAACGAGGCTGCCAATGAAATGTCGAGACCATGACATAAGCCTCATTGGGCAGTTGTTAGGCAGCCATCATTTGACAACGGTTATTTATTTGGTCAAAACACTCCAAATAGACTAGAGTTGCGGTTCTCAGTCATTGAAAAGATGCAAGCTCAATAGCAAAATTTTGTAACAGACTCCAATCTTTTAACTCTCTTAAACTACCGGAATGGCCAATTCGTCCTACGTCGACTTTGTGGAGCATTGTGTGTATCGCAACCCATGCATATCGGGACTTTCGCAGCACCTCAAGAAGCCAGCAAATAGCCCAAGTCGGATCTTCTTTATTGATTTCCCAGCAGATCAGGCCTTACAAGGGTCCTCAAAACCAATATCAGCAACAGAGCAGCAGTGTGTACAACTAACAACTACCATTCCTGCAAACGTCACGCGGCTTCTATTCATCGAGAATATTACTCCCGCTATTATCAAGCAGATTGGACCGTCTTTAGACATCGATCCATTGTTCTTTTCCGATTATGTTATCACAGACTTCAAGGATTTAGAAAAGCAACCACCACCGCCAGCGCTTGCGATTCTGCCGTCTCTAATCTCTGAAAAGCCCTACCTGCATCTACATTACCAACATATACTGAGCTTGGGCAGTTCTGAGCTCTTTAAAGACAGTTCATATGCGCTGAAGACCGACTCAAACGTTCCTCGAAATGTTCGCCGTCTGGCCCCGTTGTCAGGTACACAGCTGGCTCTAGCTCGTGCAAGCTGTTCTATCTTCTTCAAATCCACCGGAAGCTCCTCCATTGGTAAATGCTCCGTATGATATTGGCGCGAAGTGTCATCTGACAGAACAAGGCTTGTTCCTCGTTGACCGTCCTATCAGCTATGTGCTCGAGGCCTCTGGGCCAAAGCAAAATCTAGGATATCAGGCCAAAGCCCTGTACTCAGGGTTTGAGGACTTTCAACCATCGCCGCCCTTCTCGTATTTCGCAGGTGGCCAGACAGATTGTGGTTGGGACAAGACGTTGATGCTTGACAGTCTAGTTCACTACTTCTCTACACAGCGGCTCCTTGGTCAACCCAGCATTCTTAGTCTCAGCTACTATCCTATACGGATTGTTCTTTCAGAGTGGAACTTATACACCCACTTGACAAGTCGTTTCTCCAAGTACTACGAGTACTCTCTTCGGAATATGGAAGCCCGACTACATGACGAGGATCTAGTCGACCTTCAACGATGGCGCCGTCGCTGCAAGCAAAGCCGGCATAAACTGTGGCTTCTTTCAGAGTATGTGAGCCGGTGGGGAGAGCATGAAAGTGATACACATAAATGGATTTCAGTTCAAAAGGATATAAATTATCTTCGAGAGCAACTGCAGGACTATGGTCAATCTCTTGAACAGATGGTCTCCATAGCCACGTCTATGGTCCAACTCCTCGATTCACGCCGCTCTATTATCGAGGCTGTCAGCGTTAGGCGCCTGACCTACATAGCGTTGATTTTCATTCCTTTGGCTTGGGTTGCGAGCCTGTTCAGTATGTCTGAAGAGTTCTTACCTGGCAATGAACACTTCTGGGCTTACTTTGCAGTTGCACTGCCCGTGTTAGGTCTAGTTCTTTTTCTGTCGTCGCTTCGATATAAGAGACTCATGCATGTGATAAGAAGGTATTGGGCCAGACTCTAGTACACAACATCAGCTCTTGGTTGCCAGAGAAGGAGATCATTTGGGTTGAATGCATATATACAGCTGGAAAAGACACCAATATCACTTCTGTTCAACGATCATTGTCTTGTAGAATTTCCATAAAGCAGTGCCAGGAATATTCTTCAACATTCTTTGCTCCAGATCTCTAAGGGGTAGCCCAGTACTGCGGTTTCTCACGAAATTGAACAATGATATCACCCGGTTTACGGCAGGTTATTAGGTCTTCTGTGTTGATTACTTCAGACATAAACACCTGAGTCTAAGACAATGTTTCATGTATTCATCCATGTCTCTGCAAATATGTCGGTTGAGGCTACAATTTAGAGCCCCTTTACCCATGCTACGCTATGTTGATGATCGTTATCGTGGTCATGCAATGGGACAACATTTTGGCTACAGTATGACTGAGCGAAGTCAAGATTACATAACCAAGACAACCTGAGGAATCATGAAACACTATATCATCCTGGGTTTGTACTCGCAGTTGTTGATGTAACCTTATAGAGATATTTCTAATAACGTAGATGGGACGACTCGTTTACCTATCACCATTTACAAAAAATAACTAGTCGTTTCTGATATGAATCCGTCACATTCCTGATCCCACAAGCCTTGCATGTCTAATCAAGGTCAAGACCTCCACTTCTATATTGTTATTCAACCCAACGTCTGGCAAGGCCTGCCACCAACGTTATTAGCCGGGACTGCCTATAACAAATCAAGCTTCATTATTGTATGTGTAGCCGTTTAGGCTTGCATTGGTATGATAGGAACTTTACTGAATGTCGTCTCAGAATACCAGAGGAATTGACCATAGGGGACACGATAGGCTAGATTTTTAGGCGATCTTATACCATTCCGATCAGACTTCCTAGGCTTTTCATTTTACTTTCTTCAAGCGTAGTGGCTTTCTGCCCTGCTCAATCTGTCAGCGAATACAAGTTTTTTTTTTTTTTTTTTTTTTTGAAGCTTGAGAGCATTCTTATCCTTCAGAAGCGAAAAGAGGGCCCAACAAAGACATAGGACCTTAGACCTTTGATGTCACAAACAATACTAGCCAATTTTCATGGGTGCGAAACGAAGTTGGCCCAGAGCGAAAATGCCGAGCCAGGATAAATGGTCGATTCATGCCAGAACTTCTCAGCGGGCATTAAGACAAGCTTGCCGAAGCTCGGTGCTCGGCGGTCGGTATTGAGGAACTGAAGGCCAATGATGTTCATTCATTCGTCGGTGACCGGCGAGTAGCCAGGACATCCACAGGAAGCCAGGTCAGAAAGGGAAAAGTGGTGTCGATAGCGCGCAGAACATCGGCATCGAGTGATTGGAAGAGGTCTCATTCGTAAGAGTCAGTTTCATATTTTTATTTGTACACGTGAAATTATCCTTCTCTATGTTAATGTCTATCTTGGATAGCTCATGTCAAAGTCGCTCGTTAGCTAGACTGAGGATAAATGTCAAACAACCAACAACGAATAGAGACAGAAGCCAAGATACCAAACTTCCGTGCTGCTTTGTGCTATTCGTCTGAGAACTTTCTAGTGAAGGTATGGTCTTTCGACTTGAAATGCCGTCTCGGGAAGACCAAATAGGGTCCTGGGTAAAGTCGACACCACCGAATTCAAGAGGAGTGTAAGCCTTCCACTGACGATCTTTGAAGTCAAAATTGACACTAGGGCGTTTGGATGGTATTGTAAAAACGCTCAGCTGCGAGTGATACTTTTGTAAGGAGATCATAACAATATAGTCAGGTCTGTGTTTGAAGGCCCTCTTCACTTTCGCCAAAACCCTTGATCCTGGTGTCAAATCTCCAGGGAAGTACCACTGACGTAGTAGTGAATGCAAATGGCTCTTAACGCCTTTGATAGAGTGTAGTTCCCATATTATGAAGAACCATGAACTAGGTAGGCCGCTTTGATAGACTGTGTCGTTCATAAAGCAACACTCTCCGATCACATACCTACTTGACCCAAGATCGAGTAAAGGAGCCAACGCTTCAAGTGATTTATATATCGGTAGGTAGAGATGCAGGCCCTTCTCAAATAATACTTGCATGACTGCGTGATGCTCAGGAGACTCAACGGTGTATCCTAAGCGGCTTTCCAAATCCCAGATCTCGTACTCCTTATCCCCCTCGTCCATATCGAGATAGTCCAAATGACCCATGATAGTAGCATATAAGGCGTTTGAGAAAAAACAATGGTAGCGCTGATTAACATCAACTCCTTGCTCATCGAGCAAAAGACGACATGTCTCGTCCTGTCCATGGAACGCAGCAGCAACCAATGCGCTTCCAAAACCGAAGTCCAAATTGAGAGCTGGATCTGCTCCCGCACCAAGCAGACTTTCCACCACGTCTGCCGTGGACTTTGCCGCTGCAGCACACAAAAGCGTAGGAAGCGCGGACGCGGGAAGAATCTGATTTATATCAGCCCCATTATTTATAGCCCAATGAACAATCGTTTTGTAGTCGTAGTCAAATATGTTGGGGTAAGAAAGACCTGAAAGCAAGACTGTTTCTTTGCCATCGTTGGCATTAAGATCTGCGCCTGCCAGTACGAACGTCTCAAGTCTGTCGATGACTTCGTCAGAGTTGTGGACATTCGTGGCTGCTTCTCGGTCTTCCCGGTAGCTGAAGTCTATTCTGGCTCCCAAATCTAGCAACGACCACACACTTGGCATATTTCCTCGCTCCAATGCCTCTATGAGTGCCGTCCGTCCTTCCACTCGCTTGTTGACGTCGGCACCCAGCTCAACTAGCAGGGGAATGAAGTTCTCCCTACTATTGTGAGCTGCAAAGTATAGTAGGTTTGTGAGATCACACAATTGTGTAGTAGCATCGAGTAACATACGCACAATATCCTCAGTTGACGTCCTGATTGCAAACTCAAGAGCGCTCCCGTGTCGAGTCCGCAAACTCACACTCGCTCCTCTATCAAGAAGCTTTCGCAAAACAGTCTTTTTGGTCCCATCAGTTGACCATTTTAAAGCACTCTTAAGTGCTGTGTCCACTTCGGGCTCCACGACTCGCTGTAACAGCCTGGCAAGTGGCGGGTTCAGATCAACATCATTTACGTCAAATCCTGCCTCGATAAGTGCATCCAGTGCAGGTAGATAGTTTGCTCTAATTGCAACTTTCAAAGGGCGGAGTGGGCAGGATTCAGCTTTCACATTTCTGTCCAAAAGGAATCTCCAGATGCGTTCATGTCGGAATTCGATGGCCAAAGAAAGCAATGACGGGCCCTCGTCAGCTGCATCACTGGACTTCGAACTTAATTCGTTCCACCAGGTCCTAAGCAAATGAAAAAGTCCAAAGACAGCTGCAACTTCTAATGGCGAAGACCTTGAACGAACGGCCAGAAGCTGCAACGACATGTAACATGAAGGAGCGTAAGACTTGCGCTTCAACAAAGCCCGGCGGTGATTCTTCCAGCACCAAAAAACAGGACTTTCGGTTTCGATCGACCCGAAGAACTCCCTTAGCAGAGAAGCTAATTGATTGGATTCACTCGATGGCGAATCGGCTTGACCCGCGTGATGAAGGGCCTCGCAGAGAACATAGTCGTCTAAGTTGTGGTCCCAATTTGACGACGTTCCACGTTCAACATCGCCTGCAATATGCCGAATGTAGGGTTCATGAGGCTCAATATTCCGCGGGTCCTTAGCTTCGGTCGACGAGGACTGAAGCAGTATTCTCAGGCAAGAAGTGGCAGCATGGCGGTGGGCTTCGACCGTGGCGTAATGGTGTTCTTCGATGTACTCGCGTGCTGATAAGTGGCAAAACCGCCACACTCCCAATTCGTCATCGTGTATAAGTAAGTTGCCTCCGATACCCAAAATGTCATCTTTGGTCAGCTGCTCGATTGGTGCGACGTAATCAGTATCTGTATCGATTTGCAATAACCTCGACAGTTCAGCAGTTCCGAGGGGTCGAAAGGCGCAAAGAACCCATTTGATCGCTCGTCTTGCCTGTTGCTCTTCATGGGAGGTTCTTTGTCCTATTTGATCCCAGATAACATCATAGGCCGCTCTGAGACCTTTAGGCGCATTCGATGTATGGGCTTTGATGCTTGATTGGTTCCAAACAGTAGATTGACAGAGTTGCTTTACCTGCAATGCTGCCCATTGGAACATGCCATGGCTTTTATCATGGAAGATTGCTTTAATCTGTTGCTGAAGCTCTGAATTCAGGCTGTCCCACCGTGGGTCTTGCGACAGCTCATCTTGCACAAATGAACTTATGTCGGCTTCATTGTCAGTGGCTTGTATCTCGATGATAGGCTTGTCTTGAAAGTTACGTCGTATATCATCATCAGTTCGACTCGATATGAAAACTCGAATCTTGCTGCTGCCTTTCAGCAAACCTGAAACAGCCTTCATAAGCTCTACTCGACTGTCCCTATCACACTCGTCCAGAGCATCCAGAATGATAGTGGTTCTCGAGTAGTCACCGATAAGTGTTTCAATCAGGTTCTGGCAAGTTGGTATATCGAAGGTCATACCGTTAGTTTCGAGACGATCAGGGAGCCCTTTCAAGGCTTGGTGAATCTTTCCGTTTTCCACTTCCCTCACTGGGGTTGACAGTTGCCGCAGGATACTGCGAAGGATGTCTTGAGGATTTCTCCTGTTCGGCTCATCACGCTTGCAGTAAAAGTAAGCCACTGCCTCATCAAGTCGAGCATTCTGGCAACAGTAGTCAACCACCTTGGAGACTAGGAAGGTCTTTCCCGCGCCAGCTAGAGGCTGTTAGAGTTTAACAATATAAGACAATTGCTTACTTACGATTGCCATATAACACCATAAGAGCTGTACCATTGCCTTCCCACTCAAGGAACTTCTCTTTCTTGAGGATCCATTCGCAAGTACCCCCAGTCCTCTTTCTCTTGACCTCCTCGTGGTGGCTTCGAAAAAGAATAGTAGATATCTTTTCAAGAGCCCTTAAGTGATCTTGCTCATCAATTCGGACTAGTGATTTCAAGACACGGTCTTCTAGATGTGCGATAGAAAGTTTGACCTCATCCAGCAAGCCCAAGTACTTGTGGGATGAGTTGTAAGCAAGAATCCTCCCACAATCTTGACCACAGTCCAAGGCCTGCTGATATTGCGCTTTCAACTCATTGAGGATACCCACGGGCTCAGATGAATTGAACAGTGCTATAACCTTGCGCGTCCCTTTCTTGAGCATGAATGAAGAGTAGGAATACTCAAGTGCCACCAAAAGTGACGAATACAGCTTGAATAGTTCTTCGCTCAAATTTTTGACGCATTGCTGGCTCAGATATGACACATCATGGTTGTTTTCGAGATTCTTCTTATCGTTTATATAGACGACTTCTAGAACGTGTCCCGATATGACAAAATGAGGGATTAACGACATAAGCTCGAAGGTACTTTCTGTATACTCTTTCTCTGCCACTATGGCCTGTGGGGGAAGTTAGTCCGCATAACCGTAGCAATAAAGTCTCATACCTGCAAGACGAATCGAAAAGCCGCCCACGGAAGAGCGGCGTGGACAGGGTCGAAAGACGACGCCACATCTCCTATAGCCTTGAACTTGTTGAGCCAGCGAACCATACGGTCGAAATACTTTGACAAATCCCATCGATGGCTCGTCGTTTCTATGACACACAGACGGCGTGTCTTCTCAAATTCTGTCTTTTTTTGTTCCGTTTCGTTGATGAGCCAATTAATATGCTCTGTTGCTGTTAAACCAGGTTTTGTGTCATTTTCGACACTGTCAAGCCACTTCTTGACATCTTCTGGAAGACCTTCGCGGGATTTTACCCAAAGGCTTGTGGGTTCGCTCATTATGTCTCTGGTAAGCGTTCGGGGCCGTTGTAGTAAGCAAAGCGGGGAACACAAGAGATGAGAGGCTTGGATTTTGGGCTGCTGTCAGCCTTGCAGCAAAGTTGGGGAAATAGACCAATCACGGATTCAACATGGTCAAGGGTGTTGAAAATACCTGCGATTACCTGCGAATCCAGAAGTTGGGAGCAGAGTTGAAAAAAACTACATCGTATCATATGGCAACAGTAATGAGGGTATTATATATAAGAATCTGTCTTAATTATATCTCTAATTGTGCTTTACTCATCAGTGGATAATGTTTTCTTCTTTTCGTAGTAAAGTTTCATTTATCTGAATCACTGTAAACTTGATATCGCTTGTATCGTACTAACCTCTGTATGCAAACGCCATAGTTGCAGGTCTTTCCAAAAGTCTCGCATCCTGGAGCCTACAAATTAGGCTACTGTACACAACTACTTTCGATGCACCGTGATTATTCCCTCCTCTCATGTGATTAGTCGCTCGAGTCACTCATCTCCCAAGTTTGCCCGATTGATACCCAACTTCTGCCTCAATGCTGGCGATATGTCATCTGCCTTCCTGATTGACTACTGCCTGGCTGAAACATTGCCTGATTTACCTGAACCTTCGCCCAATTATATTGAAAATGTCTAGTCGCATGAAACATTTTTCACAGGTCAGGATTGGTCTTCGGTAGCTACAGCCAGTCCTTTCGTCTTGGAGATGTCTCTTGCTCTGGACTACTTGTAACCCAATCAGGTTTGGCTTTCCACATGTCAGATGCAGACATGTTCGTGGAGGTAAATAGGACCAAACCTTGGTGGATGTTCGCGACAGCCTGTGCACGAACAAGTTAACGCGACAGGGCCATGGCAGAATTTTAAGTTCCGTTGCTGAGTGTCTGAGGAAGAATCTGCTACCTATATCAGAAGAAGTCCTCCATGCATCAGGGCGGAAGAGCGAGTGACCATCGGTAACAAAGAGCCACCCCACTCGTTGTGATTACGCTAACTGTCGTGTAAGCACTCTTCGAGAAGGCGACGTAGGATTAGCTATGGGTTGGTAATGGAATGGCCGAGCGTGCTTTTGGCGAAGAGGCCGATGTGCTACCGGCATGTCACAATGACCAGTAATAGAGATAAACTCAGTGCAAAAGCTTATCCTCGTTGAACTATATTTCTCTTGTTGTCCCGGTAAGCAACAAGACTACAGCAGGTGGTTAACTATGACTTGACTAACCCTTGAAGTTACTGACCGGAACGAACCAAAGTGCGGTCTCCAATGATGTTGGAGCTCCCTACATCATCTTCCCTACCATTCATATATCTAGAGCTAGTGTGTTCATCTACTGAGGGGAGGATTTAATGGTGGTGTCCTCTCAGCAGCAAATTTGGGTCTCATGCGCGTATTAGACTCAGTCTCGGGTTTGGCTACAACCGCTCCTGGTGTCTTAATCCCAATTGTAAAGGTGTGACAGATCTTGACAGGAAAGAACTGTACTATTTTCTCAATGAGTTGTGTTGATAGCCCATGTGATAACCTTTTTTGAAGCGTCAAATGATGAAGAAAAGAGGCGAGGATGAGTTTCTCGACAGTGACAATGGCAGTCCCGATGCGAGCTTTCGCTTCATGACTGAGGAAGCATACCTCATTGTCAGTGCCCCGGGCTTTGGAGCAAATATTAAACGTTAGACTCACAGCTGGAAGAAGTCACACGCTGGTTGAGAAGGCCATTTCATCCTGGAAGACGCGCTTGTCTTCTGCTCAATCAGTTACGAAGCATATGACACTATCCTGGTGAGGTATGGCACTGTTGACGGATTAGCGAATGCGGCACCGTTCAGACTCTGTTGTAGTAGAACTGTTAGGTCTAGTAGTGGTGTCGGTATTGGTCATGCCACAATGACAGTAACAATAGGTAGCGGTATATTAGCACCTGGTACAATGCCGCGCTGAATAGTATCACCCACTTCTCGTTGGTCTTAGCAACATACTGGGTCATCTCTCACGACTTGGATGACTTTGGGCGGTCCTCGTTTTTTAAAATAGTTGATCTTGGTCGAGGTTGGCATGTTCTGACGTTGAACTATCACTAAGCTATGAAGGCTCTCTAGATTTATTGTTGTGACGGAGTGACTTCCTGAATGTCGAATCGAAATTGGTTGTTTATGAAGCCAGAGGGTGATGGAAGTTAAAGAATGGCCATGGGTAGTAAGCAAATTATTCATCTGAAGACATTTACTTCTCATACTATTGTTTGTAAAACTACGCTACAATGTGACTCACTCTAAGTCTTTCATCTACGGACACGTTTCAAGTCACTGCCTTGATTCTCGTTACATCACAAACGCAGGGTGCGAAGCAATCATCTTAGGGGTCAAGCTACTTGGATCTTGATTTAGGACAGTGCGAGAGATACTATGTCGTTGTGAATGAAGAACCATGTTATAAACTCGCTACATTTGTCAGTCTCTTTTGTTCTTAGATTGTCCAAGATCGATATTGAAAGCGTATTTCCCAGGCACTTCCAACAGAACGGAAAGCCCACGAACAGGCGAGTCGCTTCGTATCTTTATTTCTCCTTAACGTAGCGCTTGCTGACCTTCGCTCTGCCATACTTATAAAGTCTGCCTATTATTCTATCATGCGTTTCTATTGACTCGATATTTCCAATCTCTTTTTTGAAAGTCTTATCTTCGCGGGGCAAGGCACCATTGCCAATGTCAACATAGACATCTCTACATGATCTCAATCGAAAGGCCATTTCTTATAGCAGTAGAATAGACTCTACCTCTCTATTTATAGCACCATTCGCGCAACAACCTTTATCTGCAAGGTAGCTGGATTGTCAGTCCGTTCCAAAAGGACAGAGTCATCGACAATCCGCAACGAGAGCCCAGTTCCAGTTAATCGTTTTATACTACGCCCATTCTGAACGTGATGTTCAATATTCTTTATCTACCACTGTATTATTATACCTTAGTTTGTTGCTTCAATTGCTAAAGACGCATTGTCAATGGAATAGTTGAATGCCTCACCGTCGTATTGTGTCTTGTCACATTTTATCTTAATGCGTCTTATCGATTGTGTCTTATCGGGCTAATTAATATCGTGATACCTTATCATATTCTATCGCAACGTTCGCTCACTACTAGATCTTATCGGCTCTTATCGGAGCTTATCGCCTATCGTATCTTATCTAATCAGAAACAACTCCGTCAATTAGACAGCAGCCCGTCTATCCGTCCATGAAGCATTTCTACCTTTTCAGTCTTGAATAACTCATTATAACTCACTTCATATACTACAAAAGTGCATCTAGACGTCACGACAGATCAAAAAGCGGTATAAACAACTACAAAATCGTCCTGTCATCCCAAAGAAGCCCAGACCGGAGACGGATAAATTTCTCGTTTCAGACCCCTCCGTGGAAAAACTACCATTTCTGTCTCAGGTTGACCAGCGTCCGCGCCCGACAAGGTAATTGCGGGCATTCAATTCCGAAATAACCGGAACATCCCAGCATGGTCCAATTACGACTTGAGCAAAGAGCCGCCCTGTTTCAGCTGTGAATCCCTAATATCGCCTGTAATTTATCGCGTAAAACATTGTAAACTCTTTATATATATCTCTTGGCCTGTCCTTGGCAGCTTGGCTTTTGTTTTAGTATTCTATTCACTTTCGATTCTTATTCCTTTTCCATTCTTCCAAGTACATATTCAATTCATCATGCTTCGTCAAATTGCTGTTGCTGCACTTTCTGTGCTTCCTCTCACTCTCGGCCAGGTCGCTGAGGATTTTGAGAGTGGTTGGGATCAGGTAGCTTGGCCTACGTATGCTCCTGACTGCGACCAGGGTGGAAAGGTTGTCCTTGACAAGACAACTGGTCACAGTGGTACCAACTCTATCAAGGTCACTGGTGGCGCCAATGGCTTCTGTGGACACAAGTTCTTTGGCACCGATGCCATTCCCAGCGGTGATGTCTACGTCAGAGCCTGGATGTAAGACAACTTGGATAAGATGTTACGACGTTCACCTACTGACAACTGTTTAGGAAGTCTGAGAAGACCCTCGACGATTCCCACGTCACCTTCATCACAATGCCCGACGCAGCTCAGGGCAAGGGCAAGCACCTCCGCATCGGCGGCCAGAGCAAGATCCTCATGTTCAACCACGAATCCGACGACGCTACTCTCCCCGATCTCTCCCCCGATGGCATCGCCGCCTCCAAGAACATCCCTGCCAACACGTGGCAGTGCCTTGAGTACCACCTCTCCCCCGATGGTACCATTGCCACCTGGCTCAACGACAACCCTGTCAAGGGTCTCGTCTACAGGCCCAGCGCACCTTCTTCTTACACCAACGGATGGAAGAACAGCAACCCCAAGCCCAAGATCCAGGGTGTCTATTTTGGATGGGAGTCTTACAGTGGTGCTTCCAACACGTTCTGGTACGATGACATTGCTGTCAGCTCTAAGCGTATTGGATGCGCTGTCAAGAAGTAAAGGCTTTGAAAGAATGAATGTATATAGGATTGGATTAGGACGTTGCCGGGTGCAACACTTCTTTGTATCTATTTTACCAGAGTATTTATCTGCCAAATGCAAAACTCAGTGATGTTTTGTCGCAGTTTCATAGTGGTGCTTCCCACACTTTATGGTATGATGACATTGTTGTGAGATCGAAGTGCATTGGATGTAGTTCTGAACAGGGCGAGGGTATAACAACAGTAAATGAGTTATGCGGGGTAACAACACTTATCTATCCTAGCTCTAGGAATCAATCTCTTGGTTGTATCTCAACAGGCATGTAACCCGGGCTTTACCGGCAATCAAGCTAGTCCGGTCCGGACTTGACCGGTTATAGTGCCTCTTACCTTGCACAATGTCACGTTACTCGCATCTGGGTTATCGCTATCATTGGAAGAAACAGAGATACCGGAGTTGTATTGGCCCACTCTCGATCTGAAATGCTCACACGACATGTGAGCACTGTGCCGACTAACCGATAAGCTATCGTTCAAGGATTAAGCTTATTCGCTCTCATGAGAACCATGGATTTGCTTATATCTCGCGTGACCCCAGAATATGGTGAAACCTCCAAAGCTGATGGCTGGCTTGGCATATTGCAAAGCACAACTCGGGCCAGAAACTCATCAATCCACTTAATTGAGAATGGCCATTCCACAAGACGAAGGCGTCTCAAGCCTGAAAAGGAGCATGGATGTCTCGGAGACAAAAGCCGAGATAAATGCCGATGAGTTGCGCCTGGCGCAAATGGGTTTGTTACATGATTCCTGTTTCCTCGTACAGCAGTCTTGCTAACTGTTGGACTCAGGCCATACACAAGAGCTGAACCGACATTTCAGCACTCTAAGCTTGATCGGTCTTGCCTCTACGACAACTATCTCGTGGACGGGACTGGGTCTTGGCCTGATCACTGAGATAGGAGCTGGAGGCCCCGGTGCAGTGATCTATGGGTTTATTCTGGTGACAATTTTGCAATGCTTTCTAGGTGCCTCACTTGCTGAATTTGTTTCGTCCTACCCTACTGAAGGCGGCATGTATCATTGGATTGCAGCCGTTGCGCCGAGAAGAGGAACTGGCATCTTGAGCTTCCTCACGGGATGGTTCAGTGTTCTCGGCTGTAAGTCATCTCCGGATAACGAGAAAGTTTTAGCCCGCTAACAAAGACCAGGGATATTTACAACTGCATCTACCAACATCATCTATGCGCAAATCTTGATGGCATTAATCGCTCTGTACAAGGCCGACCTCGAAATCAAGGCCTGGCAAACCTTTATTGTCTACCAAGGCTTGAACCTACTAACCGCTGGCGTTGTCATGTTTGGGAACAAGATCATTCCTGCCTTGAACAAGTTCTCGCTCTTCTACTTACAAATCGGCTGGCTTGTTGTATTAGTCACTGTGGTTGCATGTGCCCCGATACACCGTGATCCTGAATTCGTGTTCAGGACCTGGATCAATACAACGGGTTGGCAAAATAACGGCATTTGCTTCATTACTGGTTTGGTCAATCCTTTGTACTCTCTTGGTGGTCTCGATGGAGTGACACACATTACGGAAGAAATGCCCAACGTATGTTTTCCCACCGTAAAGAATGCATAATTAAAAGCTAACCAATCTCCAGCCTTCAAAGAATGCTCCCTTGGCCATCGCTATTACCCTGATTATCGCATTTTGCACTGGCCTGACCTACTTGATCAGCCTCATGTTCTCGATCCAGGATTTCGACCAGCTAACCTCGGGCAACACCGGAATGCCACTCGCAGAACTTTTCCGTCAAGTCACCCAGAAGACTGGCGGTGCGTTTGGTCTTTTATTCATCCTTTTCATCGCTCTTGGTCCTTGCGTCATTAGCTCGCAGCTAAGTACTGGTCGAATCTTCTGGGCCTTTTCCCGAGATGGAGCAATTCCGTTCTCCAAGGTGTAAGTCAATCAACAACATAGCCTGATAGCGCCCTAACTAACCGTCCTTTAGCTGGTCCAAGGTTCACTCAAGCTTGAAGATTCCCTTCAATTCCCAGCTGGCTGTCACGGCTGTCATTGCAGCTCTGGGATGCTTGTATCTCGGCTCCTCAACAGCATTTAACTCCCTTCTGGGCACTGCTGTCACCATCAACAACATCTCTTATATGTTCCCTATTCTTACTAACTTGCTTACCGGCAGGAGGAACATGCATAAGGGGGCGTTCCACATGGGTCCAACAATTGGTCCCATTGTAAACACTGTTACGGTGTGCTGGCTTACATTTGCAATTATCTTTTTCTCCTTCCCGTATGTCATGCCCGTTGAGGCTACAAACATGAACTATACCTGCGTTGTTGTGGGTGGCCTGGCAATCCTAATTGGTGCATGGTGGTTCAAGGTTGGTTCTGAGTATACGGAGAGGATGATGAAGGCTAAGGAGGAATAAGACTGGAACATTTTGCAAAAACATATAACTTGTACGTATAAGACACTTTTATAAAGTATTTATCTGCCAAATGCACATCTTAATTATTTAGTTCTCCATGAAAGTTCATTTCTGCTCTTGACAATACGCCATGACTGACCCATTTGGTCACTGGGATCCAAGTTTAAAGTTCCTCCTTGTACCAAAGTATCCAACATCCAAAGTTACCATGTCATCCAAATAAGCCAGGTCAACCTCCTTGGGACTCTCATCCCCATCTTGGAAAAACTTGGCGACACGCTTCGCCGTCCATTTCGGGTTCTCGTCCGCTAGTGAATAGTTAATCACATGTTTTCTTTAAGTGCATGAGCTTGAACTTACCAATCCAGTGTCCAGCTTTTGGAATAACATCAATCTCAACATTCGTAGAGATTGGTTCAAATGAGTCTTGAATAAGAGATTGAAGTCCAAGACTTGCCTCGCCACCCATTCCAAGGAGTGGAACATCCAACTTAGTCTCATTCAACGAAGTCTTGAAGAACTCTGCATCCTTGAAGACAGTCGTGGCGGAAAAGGGTCCCAGCATGGCTCTCAGGAATCCCGGTTTCGAGATACTGCTTGTGTACCTGTTGACAGTCTCCTCGCTGAAACTCTCGACTCCGGAGTAACTACCGTGGTAGAAGTACCATTGCAGGAACTGTTTCTCTTTACCCGACATGAGAAACTCGGCGAGGTCAGTGACTTGGAAGAATGCCAGTTGCCAGTTCTGGTAGAGGTCCCAATAGGCAGCTGGGTTTGACGATTGCTCATATCCAAAGCCTGGAAGAGGGTACTCAGCCAGTGCAAGTCTCTTGACTACATTGGGGTATTTGATGGCTAGAGCAGTTGCCATGCCGACTCCCTTGTCGTGAGCAAAGACATATGCAGATGTGATGTTCAAAAAGTCCAGCACACCTTTGAGGTCTTCAGCTGAAGCAGCTGCAGTATAGTCCCCATCCGGAGGAATGCTCGAGTCACCAGCGCCACGGTTATCTGGTGCAATAACAGTGTAGTTCTGGGCGAGTATGGGACCGATGAACTGCCATGTCAGGCTGTGTTGGGGGTTTCCGTGGACGAGAAGTAGCGGGGGACCTGAGCCAGCATATCTGAAATGAATGCTGACGTCGTTCAGAGCAACACGTCCATGAGCCCACGTGTCGAAGGAAGAAAGAGCTGTTGCGACAGAGACCAAAGAAGCCAAGGTAATTTTGAAGAATCGCATGTTGTTGATGTTGCGAGTAGAAGTCAATGAGAAACTGTTAGGGTAGTGAATGATTTGATCTATTTTCTTTCTATCCAGTAGCTTTATACTTTATCTGCCTCTACTTGTTGATGTGGTTCACAAGGTTCACGATCCTGTGATTTTTAAGCTCCGGTTACTCCTTTGGGCAAGCGGTGTTCCTTTTGGGAAATATGGGCCTTGTCTTACACGGCGGACCAATCAATACTCTCATCAGCAGAAACTGGTCATCGGCTGAATAATGTCCTCAAAAACGTGATTGGCTACGCGTTGGTGCTGACAGTGGGCGAGAACAGCAACTTGGGATGATCATGACAAGTTATTAACAAATGCTTAACAATTGATAGACATGTCAATCTGCCTCTCAAGCGTGGAGAATTGAGAATACAGCTTGGTTGTGGTGTTTTCACCCAGGTCAATCGGTACCGTTGTACGTTTGCTTGTTGGTTTCAGTAGTGAGTGCCCCGATAAGCGATAAGCTCATGCACCATCAATTGACAACTTGGTCACAATGGGCGACAGCGATCTGACTTAATTGTAGGGGAAAATTAGGAATTGAAGAGATGTACATTTATTTTTGAAGAGCGTGACAAGGGAAATACACAAACAAGAGCTGAACCATGGAATCGGGTTGAGCATTGGAGTGATGCTTTGCTACAGTGGTCAATAAGGTTTATTTGTCCCGTAAGCCTCCTCTGCAGAAGAGGTGGAATTTACTTTTGTCGCACGATTGCATTATCTCGTCAATCATCCGTCTCCGGGCGCATGAATGGAACACCAGGCTGTTTGATGTCAATTATCCGATTTTGAAACAAGCATATTGGGTCAAAAGGAATGAAATGCAGACTGCATTGCTCAATTGCCATGTCATCTCTGTTGGCTGGGGAGCTAACCTACACCTTAGAGGCAGAGACTCCGGCCCGCCGCCATTTGACTCGGCGGATGGGTCGGGACAACACCGGGATACTTTCGGGTGACAAATTCTAGTCGGACAGATAACGTGTTGCAAGTCGGTGAAGTGAGTAGTTATTTATGTCAACTTCTATCATCGCGAGCTTCATTCCCCTTGTCTTCCCACCCATTTGACCTTCCATCACTACCATGCTGAATTGACAATGCCGACATTGGAAACAACACTTAATGACAAACTGTTCAATTACTGGAAGTGTACTGCTATAGATCTATTTTCTATTTATTTTTATTATTATGTAATTGAAGATTCGAACTCGTTGTCCAATAACACACTGCTCAATTGAAGCATTATCTGGTAATCCTTGGAAAATCGACGCGATGAAGGTAATACTCCTGATGGCAGAATGCTGCAAATTCGGCGATAGTGGCAAGAACAGTCAAGTCACTTGATGTGAGATTCCAACGTCCATGGGAAGATTGAATCAAGGAAATCCGGTTTCTCCATGGACTAGCTAACCTGAAAGAGAAACTCCATGACCAGCTCAATATGGCTAGCCGAAACTTGTCGAGTACTCCGCTTGGGTAAAGTCTTATCCGGCGGCTGGAAGCGAGGAGAGATGGGGAACTCCATCAACAACATCCATGCGACTGGTCATTGGCTCAAAATTCCACTGTTGTGAGGTACTAGAATCTCAAGTAAATGGAACAATTCCTCATGTTGAATTGGTTCTGTCAGTGAATCCATTGTTCAGACTTCGAGAACAAACAGGGCGATCCTTTCTGAAGCTTATGCAGAGATTAATTTATGCTTATTGTTGTCAATGAAGTTTGTTGTCTCAATCTGTCGTCACATTGACCACCACCAAACACGTCTCGGTGAAAACTCGCCATCATCAGACGCGACTTCTCGCATGCAGCATACCATTCGGTCAATTAATATCCAAAACACAAAACAATGCATCTCATGAAGCGAGAATCTCCTTTTCTTTACATTATCTCGGCCGTGATACGGTGTTGTTATGGACAAACCTCAATTCCTCCGACAGACCAAAATAGCAAGCCGATACACGAATCTGGCGGTCACGAACACTTATCAGAAGTTCATGTAGCGGAGTGGAGGTCAATGTCAGGCAGCAGAATTACTCCAAAAATCACGAGAGACCTTTGCATGATTCTGACCTGCAGTTTAATAATCGGGAAGCGGGCGAACCGAGCCGGCATGTAACGTTGAGTGCTAACTGTCGTGTTGTGGTGGTCCGTGGGGGTCACTTTTCTCTCCCGTGAGAAGAAAAAAAAAAAGCACGGTTGGCCAGATTTCTTGGAGAATGAGGGGAAAGCCTAAGTCCGGTAGTTGAAGTTATCTCCAGTAACGGATATCCGAGCCAACCTCCCCCAAATCCATCCTTGGAAAGTCTGACCGCGGGACAGTGGATCGCTCAAGTTTTTCTCTGTTTTGTTGAGGCGAAATGGGAAATATGGGGATACATCACGAACATGGACCTATCTCATGAGCTTAATATCCCCCAGAAATGAGGGGAAAAAGGCGAAAGGGTCTTTCGAGTTTCCCACAATTTTATTAATTCGCCGTGTTTCGTTGGTTACAAGTCTCCAATTTCCCCAAATTACCCAGTTTTTTGACGATTCCACTGTAATGTTTGTAATAACAATTAAATGAATCATTTCACTTGGTCAAATCAGTCAATTGGGGTAGACAAAGAGACATTTGATCATGAATGTTTTTTTGGAGTGATGTCACGGATTAATCATCTTTAACTGCCGCTCCTCCAAGACGGATAAATCGGCCAAGACTCGTGGCCAACAGGGGTAAGATCGACAGTTCCTGGCCGAACGGTTTTCGTTTTGGAAACCTTCGAGAAGGAATTAATTCCCGCGGCACGTTTACGAGTCAGTACACGATGTGAACTTTACTGTCATCTCTACAACACGGACAGATTGACAATAACGGTCATCCATTCTTTCATGTCGCATTTATCTTAGTAATTAACTGGATATCCTCAACAAGGACCCCCCATGTCTTTCACTGCCGTAGATGCAGGTCCAGGTTCAGTGGGAATGAGCCTCAAACTGCCCTACAGCCCAGTTCTTTTCGAGCAAGAAATTCCTCTTCAGGTTACTCCGACACTTCTCGTCTCTCGAGTCTGAGTGATTTTCCACTTTTTTTCTCCAACTCGCGAGTCGCGAAAATGACGAAAGCGGAGACTCACGGACCCAATTCCCCATAAATTAGTGAAGCCACCGAAAAGAGACCGTGCCGTAATAGCCGTTTAGACTTCACTTTTCAACAACACGATAATGGCAAATCCCAGTCTACGAAAAACAAGATAACAAATTGACAAAAAAAACAATGGTTTCTTTCTTACGTTTCATTCATTACTCTCATAAACTAAAACCCCACATACGGGGCATTTGGCCTCCGTGATTTGAGATTGAGTCCCATGGGGCTCCGCAAGAACGACACTCTTAGCTCCAACTCTGAAGTTTTGACAATCTGGGTATAAAGAACCACTCCCCATTTCGCCATTGTTGTTTCTAGTATTACCTTATCGCTCTTTGTTTTGTATACCCCATCACAAATTGTCAAGATGAGCGTACCAACCTACCTTGGAACCAGCGGCAAGTCCCTGGCCATCCTCCAAATCGCCGCCATCGTCGCGCCCTCTTTCATCCTCTTCGGCTACAACCAAGCTGGCATTGGTGGTCTTCTCACAGAGGAGGATTGGGTCAAGACATTTCCCGAGATCGACACCGTCAACTCAGAGGGTGCTGAGAAGAGCGCAAAGTCCACACTCCAAGGCTTTGTCGTTGCTACCTTTGTTATTGGTGCTCTTATCGGTTCGTTGTCTTGCTCGTGGACTGGTGACAAGTTCGGTCGTCGCAATGTCATCTTCGCTGCTGCCGTTTGCTCCTTGATTGGAGAAATCCTCGAGGCTTCGTCTTTCGGTCTTGCGCAGTTCATTGTCGGTCGTGTTATTATCGGTTTGGGTATCGGTCAATTGAGTTCCATCGTTCCTGTCTGGCAGAGTGAGACTTCGGCCGCCGTGAACCGTGGTCGACAGGTTGTCCTCACTGGTCTCTTCATCTGCCTTGGATACGTCCTCGAGTCTTGGATCAACCTTGGCTTCTTCGAGTTCGAGCATGGCTCTGTCACATGGAGACCCCCGATCGCCATCGCCATCCTCTTCTCCCTCATCCTCATGGCCTCCATCTACTGCTTCCCCGAGAGTCCCCGATGGCTCGTCCTTAAGAACCGATCCGAAGAAGCCCGTCATGCCGTCGCTGCCCTCCGCGGTCTCCCCATCGACTCCACCGAAGTCCTCGCCGAAGTCGCTGGCATTGAACACTCCCTTGAAGAGACCTCCGACAAGGCTGCTCGTCTTGGTGACATGCTCAAGATGGGCGACGACAAGCTCCTCTACCGCTTCGCTCTTTGCATCCTTCTTCAGTTCTACCAGCAGATGAGTGGTTCCAACCTTGTCAGTGTCTACGCCAACGTCCTCTTCCAGAAGAACCTTGGCCTCGACGCTGAGACATCCAAGGCTCTCACTGGTGGTGCTCTGACATGGAAGTTCGCCGCTTCGTTCATCGCCTTCTTCACCATCGATCGATTCGGTCGTCGCGTGGTCTTCATCATCAGCGGTGTTGGTATGTCGGCTTGCATGATCGCTCTCGCCATCACCACCTCTTTCGGACCCGAGAACGAGCCTGCCATGATCGCTGCTGCTTGCTTCATCTACCTCTACAACACCTTCGTCCCCATCGGTTTCCTGGGTGCCAACTTCTTGTACTGTACCGAGGTTGCGCCCATCCGTCTTCGTATGGCCATGTCTTCCATCTCGACTGCCAACCATTGGCTATGGTAAGTTCTTCTTCTCGTCTTGGCTTTTGTATCAGTCACTAACAAACTCACAGGAACTTCATTGTTGTCATGGTCACTCCCGTCGCTCTCAACACCATCGGCTGGCAGTACTACATCGTGTACGCTGTCATCGCCGCTTGTGTTCCCATCTCGGTGTACCTCTTCTTCCCCGAGACCATGGGTCGTAGCCTTG